CAAATTTGATATCAAGGAGCATCAATTGTAAGCATTTGACCAGAATCCAATGAATGTAAATTAAAATTTACTTATTGTAATCCCCATTTTTGAAAAAAAAATACCCAACCATAAGTATAGTTATTAGATATTTTTAAAGACATATTCAGAAAAAGAGTAAATTTTATAAATAACCTTATATAAAATCACAATATAAATATATAGATTTTATAATGATAAAAAATTGTAAAAAACAATAAAAGATATCTATATTTTAGAATAAATATTATAAATATATATTGATATTTTTAAAATGAAACTGAAAGGAGTACAAAAGACTCAAGATTATATAAAGAAGAAGAAAGTGATATGGAAAGGGACCTCCCATTAAAATATTATTTTAATCTTCCTTTATAATTGTTTTTTCCATTAACACATTTCTGCCAACCCTCTATCCTATCCATCACCTCCTACCACGCACCCACTTACACCTAACAGAAGCTCTAATTTTTTTTTTCACATGGCCAATGCCACTAACACTTAACTAAATTCATGTCCCTAAATTTTGTGTGCTAAATTTGTTCAAATGGCCTAATGAAATTCATGATGCTTATTAACCTAAAAGATTTCACAATTTTTTCATAATCAAGCAACATCAATTTCTAGAGGTAAATAATCAATTTAGCTTCAAGATGTAAGAATTCCATGAAAATGACATTTTTTATGCCGATAAATTATATTGGAATTTTTTTATATCAAAGGAAACTATATCTCTTATTTCTAGATAGTGAGAGGAGAAGAGGTGATGGGGTAGATTTTTGGCAATTTTCCAACAAAAGCTATTGAAATAACCTTTCTATCATTAATCATGTATTTTATTTAGTAATAAAATTTAATTACTAACTTCTTAACACATGTATTAGTGTGAATATATAAACAATATACTCATAAAATTTTTATCATACTCACTGAATTTACATTAAAGTCATAGATCAATTCAAAATTTTAATAAGTGGGGGTTGCTTTTACAATGTTTGGTCAAACAATTATATAAATGGCTTGATTAGTGTAGATTTATATAATACATGTGATCATGGGATAAAATTTAAATTTACAGTCACCATGGATCCTTGGAACTTTAGTTGATAAATGGGGATAAAATAGCCACTAAAAGCTCTCTTATCAAGCAATTACCCCTTTTTCAATTGGCTTAAAGAGAGAAAGATAGAATGCACTATATGTGGTATCGAAGTAAATGGCATGGGTTCAATTTCCATTGATTAGTAACTACTTAAAAGTATAATATACTCTTGAGCAAAATATTTTCCTACTTTTAAATTTGAAATCGTATGTATTGGGCATCCATATATACGTCCATCTTCTTGTAGAGCATCCCAGATGAAGGTATCCCATTGATTAGTGGCTACTTAAAAATATAATATACTCTTGAGCAAGATATATTCCTATCTTTAAATTTGAAATCGTATGTATTAAGCATCCATATATACGTCCTTCTTCTTGTAGAGCATCCTAGACGAAGGTATCTAGACGATGAAAAGCTCTTTCATCAAACAATTGCCCCTTTTACAGTTGGTTTAAGATAGGGTGCACTACAATTTATATATTATTATAGAGAGCATTGTGATAAGAATGGGATTCCTTGTCATATCTAACTTGATCCAACTGAAGGAAAATTAGTATTTCCTTAGAAGCTTTCAATAGATATTCAACAAGGTGATTATATTAATTAAACATCAAATTAGATTAGAAAAAAAAATATAGATTATGGAAAGAAAAAAATCCTCAGATGAACCTTATTGTTGAGATGACTTTCTAACTATGTAGAATCTAAAAAATTAAAATATGAAGTACCAACTTACAAACTTACAAAGTATATATATTTGGAAGAACACAAATCTTGAGAAAGTATTTTTTTGTCAAGAAGGTTATATAGATAAAAATTATTTTGCTATTAGGATTTAGACAACTTAACAAATACAAAGATAGTAAACTTGAGTTTTAATTTGTTAATGCAACTTTTGAAACTAATTGCTATATAAGTTAAAGTTTTCATTTATTTTAAAATGAATAATCTTTGATAATTTCAAGTTCCTATTATACACTATATTTATATTTTATCATCATGGAAATGGTATTCCAGTTATATAGGTTTTAACTTTTAGTAAAACATATGAAGAACTGAACTCTTAAAAAATAAATTTTAAAATATATACCAGATTTGAAACCATATATGATAATAATTGATGATGTTAATGTGGAAATTAATGCTGTAAAGTAATTTTATGCTTTAAGATAGTTAAGTTTCTCAAATTCTATTATGTGTTTGGTACATAAAAAGGAATTATAAGGTAAAATCATGAGATATTAAGATGGAAATATAGAAACATCTCAAAGATATTATGTATCATTTAGGTCACAAAGCTTTTTATGATAATACTTTTATGCATCTTTATCAAAAAGCAATTTTAAAAAATGATAGAATTAAAATATTGATTCATTTGCTAAATTTCTCTTCCCATTCATTTTGAAAATACTTGATAAAAGCTCATTTATTTAGAAATTCCACCCATAAAATATTTGATAAAATACTTAATCTCAACTTGTGATTTGTTCTTGAAGTTTTTCTTATAGCCAAATAATTTTATTGTGGTATTCCATGAGCTATACTCTCATTGAAAAAACATTATGCTCACAATCAAATAATAGATTAAGCACTTCACCAATTTACTACCAAGGTTCTGATTTATTAGTTATTGCAATTTTATTTGAAATCATGAATACTAAAAATTAATTTATAGTGCAATTATTAAAGTAAGAAACATTAACAACTTTCATGTAAAATTTGATAAAAATGATACTTACAAATATTAATATACTTGCAATGCATTCAATTTAATGAAATTTGGCTAAATGTTAAACCAGTTGCTTCATGGAACAAATTTAGAGCAAGTGTTGACATTTTATTTAGAGTTTTAAGATCCACTGGCCATGTTGAAAAAAAATTAGACATACAGCCAAGTGCATGTTAATGTCAAGGATTAAACAATTGTCAACTGGAATGCAATAAACGATTGTCAGCTGGAATGCAGTAATTAGTTGCTAGTGAAGAATCTTAATTGTTTAAAAGAAACTAAGCTTTTTCATAAGAAAGGGAAAAACAATTATAATCTTGTGGAACAGTCATTATCCTAGTCTCTTCCAGGAGGACTATGAAACGATTTCCTGGACTCCGCCACAAACCACGGCCGATCTTTGACAGGCTTCTTCGACTCCTCCACAACGCTGGCAGATTGAGCGCTGCAAATCGATCCCAGCAGTGTCGGGCATGGCCCTTGTTGTTCCGCTCGCATACTAGCATTTGGGGGAGAACCTCCGGCTGGCCTTCGCAGATTTGGCGACAAGGACGACGAAGGCGAGGAGCCGGGTGATGCAAACGGAGTAGCAAACGGCGTGCTAGTCGACACTCGATTCTGGAACGAGATCGTGTGAATCTTCCGAGCTATTGGTAACGCTGCGTTTGTTTTTGATCCCAGTTGGCTTCCGCTGCTGTCTTGGTTCCTCTTTGTCATGTCCGCTATGTACAGTACGTCGTCAATCCGAGAGAGAATGCTGTATGCCAGACTCTCCAAAACTCTCGAGTAGCTCTCGAGAATTGCCTGGCCAACATCCTGTTGCAACCAAGTAGGAGTGATTTATACAATCAGCTCCATAAAAGAAAGAACAGACCTTGTTGTACTGGATCTTGTTGACGTCCAACACTGTTTGTGGCAGTCCCGGAAATCTCTGCCTCAGGCATAGAAGAAGGCTGTCAGCTCTCTCGATTAGCAACTGCCTTTTGTCTCCACACTCGGCCACCAAGTCCCTCACTTTCAACCATGAGTATCTCGAGCTGCCGTTGCTTTTGCTTTTGCCTTCCTTGTGAGAGCCGGACGACTCCTTTTTTCTCCAGATGTGCAAAGCCGACTGGATGCGGTTTGCAACCTCCAAAGCACTGTGCTCCGTGGACAAGTCTAGAGACGAGAGGAGTGCGTCTGGAGAAAAGTGTTCTTGCCTCAGACCATAGTATATTGTATCTCCCAGATTCGCTCTCGCGCTCTACGACACACATGGAGCAATAAAATCTTTTGCGTCAAGTCTCTAAAGTTGAAAACACCAGGCACCAAACCACCAACTATGATAAATGAAAGAAAAGAAAGAAGTTACCTTCGGAAGAGAGTCCCAGTAAACGTCGGGTACTTGCATCTCCGAAAGGACCTGCTCGTTGATCGCCATGGCTGCCTTGAGGATCTGGTTCGTGCAATCCCGCTGATTCTGTAACGCCTTACGGGACTTCTCCGAGAGACCACCCGTAGGAATCTTCGGGACCGGCAGCCACCACTTATCCTCCTCCCTCTTTGTAGCCACGGATTTTTGCTGCTGGTTCTTGGATGAAATATCTACCGACACTCCTTGGTCCACATACCAAAAGTCAGTCTCCTTGTAGCTGTCGAGTGCCTCCTGTGAGAGACAAAAGAAGTAGCGACCTGAACCATTTTTGTGAAACTCAATGTGACGAACAAACTGGGATCTTGATGAGTATGGCCGAGGATGACCTTACCAGTAGCATCGCGTCCAGCTTCCGAAGAGCTGGTAGATTGATATGAAGATCCGAGCGCGGCCTGCTGATCATGACCTTTACGAAAACAATGAGATAAACAACAATGCGTTAGTTTATATGATCCATCATAATGGCGACAAAAATCTGCACACGCACACTCACCTCTAGACTGGTACCATCTGTGACGCTGTGAAAAGATGGAACGAACTCCACAATGTGATCGCAGACCGAGAGAATCCAATTCATCTCTCTTTGCCAAAGTAACTTACGTTCATGGGACAAAGGCTCCAATCTCCAAAGCTCGCCAAACACCGAAGCTATAGAAGAGAGAAGAATTAAAACTTACACAAGGAAAAACTAAAGAAAGAAACGAGGAACACACACGTACCAGCGAGATTGGTGAGCGCATTGGAGATTGCCAGAGCCGTGCAAACTCCTTTGCCACTGCCGGACATGTCCTCTCCAAGAAGTAGCTTGGAGAATCGTTCTTTCATCATCTCAATCTCTTTGAAAGAAGAAAAAAAAAAGAAAGAAACCATCAGAAAAAACGTAGAAGAGATTCTCGGGAGAGAAAGCAACCAATCGAGATCACATACCTGGCGTTTGATTCTTCGCCATCGCGGCAGATCTTCCATCGCTCCATCCAACGTTGCTGCTCTCGGCGGATCTCGGCGAGGAGGGCATCACGACCGCGGCGGTGCCAAAATATCCGAGCTCCTCGCGAGAATTCGGCACCGGCGAGAGCTTGAGATGGCTGCGCTGGTGGCGGCCGAGCGGCCAGCCTAGCGGCGAGCGCCCATCGTCGTCGGAGCTGCTGACCTCGTTGCTGAGAATCTGGCGCTCGCAGATCAAATCGATGGGGCTGCCTGCCAGGTCGGCGTCGTAGCGATCATGCGAGCTCCGGCTCAATCCATCGATGCTGGTCGTGCAGCTCGCCCTGTCGATGCTCTGCTGCTCCTCGTAGCTGAAGATCGCGCTGTCGGATCGAATCAAGAGCCCCTTGGCCTTGTCCATGCCTGAAATCTCATCAATCTCATCAAATTCTTCCCTGTTGCTCCTCCAATTCATCCATGCACCAGCTCCAATGCCGGCGATTCCACCCCAGCGATTCCAACGAGACGAGGAGAACAGAGCGTTAAGGGAGGAGAAAGAGCGGCCATGGCCGCACCTATCACTGTTTACCACGTGGCGGCGCATTCCATTCCGGAAAGAAAGACATCAAGGGGGCTACATCCAACGGCTGGGAGGTTTTTCGGAAATCTATGTCGAATAATTATTACTTTTTTACTTTTGGTATTTACTGGATCCAAAAGTCTTTTGATTTTATTTTAGGGTTCTAAGGAGGAAGGCGATGGCGCTCGTGGCGCCGCCTGCGTTCGAGGAGGCTGCGCACTGCGCGATCTGTGGCTGCGGCTTTGGCACATTCAAGCGCCGGGTAAGTCTGCTGGATTTCCTTGATTCTCGAGCTAGAAATTCGTAATCGATCGCATTTTCGTGCACAGCATCACTGTCGCGCTTGCGGGAGAACTCTGTGCAACGAGCACTCCTCGAATCAGATGGTAAGAGAGAGCTCGATCGCCACTTTTCCTCCATTGTTTTTTCTTTTCTGCGAATGACGATAAAAATGTAGGCTCTTCCACAATTTGGCTTGCACGGGCCAGTGAGGGTCTGCAAGGATTGCTTCACAGCAGGCGACACGAGGCAAGCATTTTCTTTTTGATTTTCTTCGAGTGTACGTTTGCTTGACGTTTCTCTACTTTTTAATCCAGTGTTCCAGCCTTAGAAGAGGGTGATGGAGTCGTTACAAGGGAGCCGTCTGAGAATGACTCGTTGGTACCGGAGTTTTCTAGTCTCAATCTCAACGAGGCCACGGTACCAGCTACAGTTCCCGCCAATGAGTCGACTTCCACAGTTCCCACGTTTGAATGCAAGTGTGGAATGCCTCTTTGCATCTGCAGCGCTCCAGAACCAGAAGCACCAAAGGTATGTCTTTTTCCACAATGCTTTTGACGATTGCCTTATCGCGATAAGACCAGGTCTCGCCTCAAGTCTCACAATCAGCCAGTAGTTCCAGAAGCAAGAAAACGGCCACCTCATCTCTTCCAACAAGGCAAGATCAACCTCGACCTTTGCCTGTGAAACAATCTCCAAGGTAACTTGAGGCAAGCTGGAGAAGTGCGACTAACCAATACTTATATCACAGCCTATTTTTCACGGGTGGACAAAGCGTCAAGGCCGAGGATCATGCCCCCTGTCGAAGTTACGATATCAGCGGCGAGGTATTTTAATAATATTGTACGTACTTTTCCCTTATGAATGTTTTATTCACTCAACTGTGATTGAAAGGGAATACGGGAGGCCATTAAGAACGGGGATGCAGGTGCTGTAAAGAATCTTCTTTCCAAAGTAAGTTGCCATTTCAATCTGATTTCTTGTTTGATAGTTTCAAAACTTGCAAGGGAGTGGATGCCAAATACACGGATAAGCAAGGGATGTCACTGCTGCACTTGGTAATGCACGTTGTTTTTCTCAATTTTCTTCTTGACTTAACGACTTTTTTTCAGGCAGCCGTGTTTAACTTGACAGAGATAGCCTTCATGCTTTTGGACTCTGGAGCAGAGGCCTATTCCAGAAACTTGCAGGGTACCAATGTACAATCTTTACTGTTAGCTAGCTGCCTAAAAACCGATCGTGCAGGAGAGACACCCTTGGACTGCGCGCAAACGACTTTACAACTAAAGCTCCTGGAAAAGCTTGCAAGAAGTTGAAAGGCATTTAATTTAAAAGAGAACAATCGTACGCCAGGGAAATAATAAGGTAGCTCTGTTTACCTCATTTCATCTTTCAAGTTTTATTTGTGAAAAAGCCGGTGTTAGATCTACAAACTTTGCTTCTTCTACTGCCTAGGCGAATTCCAGAGGAAACCATCTGCTTTGGCTCCTCCAGAGCGATCGAATAACAGGAAGCAGTCCAAGCAGAGCTAGCTGGATCCGATCAGTGCTATTCACCTTGATCGATATCTGTCCGGTTCCTCGATTGTTGGCGTTGCCGCGCACCACCATCGCCGTTCCTCCCAAGTGGATTTGCGAGTGTAAGTTGATTCCATATGCAATATCCTTTGCTGTCCAGTTCATGACTGACAATCCCAGCGTGCAGTTTGTTCGATCCACGGGATAGTCGGGCCCGACCACCGTCGCTTCCATGATCGCTCCGTAAGCTTTGTCACCCCGGGTGAGTGAAGTAGCCCCGCTCATCAGGATCTTTGCTCGCTTTCCTATCACCACCTTGTCTTCCAGTCTCACTCCGACCACCGCGTTCTCTCCGACCATTGTGATCCCCATTCCCGCCAGCGTCTTGTTAGACTCGTGGTTCTTGAACGTCGTCCCTCCCCACAGGCTGTAGCAAACGTCCCTTCCCACCGTCTGGATGTCGAGCCCTCCGGTAGAAACTCTGTTGGGTCCGTGCTTGATTGCTGCAGAGCCATCGAAAGTTACGTGGTACTCTTTCTTGTCCATGACGATCTGTCCCGAGACTGACACTGGGATGTTCTTAGCGAGGTGGAAGGACCTGTCCAAGTTGGCGGAGTTGAACCCGTTCTCGTGATCCCACCGCGAGTCGAGCACCGGGCGGACATTCCAGGACGCATCATCGACGTAGCGGTACCGGTGGCTTGGATCGTCCGAGCTGAAGCTCGTCGGGAGCGCGAAGTCGGGGGAGATCCCGGGGGCCATGTCGCGGTGCTGCTGCTGCTCGTCCTCGCCGTCCTCCACGCCCCTGTTCTTCATCTCCCGCCACCTCCGGCACTGCATCTTCCACAGCTTTCGCTTGAACAGCTTCTCCCGCAGCGCGAGCTCCTCGAAGTACGACTGCCGATTGTCCTCGTCCAGAGCGTCCAGTTCGTCCTGGAGCAGCCGGCGGAAAGGTGGCAGCTGATCAAACTCGGCCTCTCCATCCTCGTCCTCGTCGGGATCCACCTCGCCATACTCCTCCTCGTCCGGCTGCTGGACCTCGGATCGAGCCTGCAGCATCGACGCTAGCAGCACCGGCATTGGCGAGCCACTCCGCCGCTCGCACAGCCTCGTCAGCGGCATGCTCTCCGGGAGCTTGAGGTACGTGTTGGCCTCGGCCAGGATCCGGGCCGAGAAGCACAGCAGCAGGAGCTCGGGCCGCCACACCATCCCGTTTGGAAGAACTCTCTCGCCGGCTCGGTTGGTTCGACACGCCGGGTGGTTCTCAATGAGCGTCACTGGGTTGAGCAGCCGGGTATCGCCCACGGCCGATCGGACAGTCTGCTGGAACATCCGGGTTCTCTGGCCAACGTAAGAATCATACCGCAGCGGAAAACCATCGGGTCCATCGGGTGGCGACGAAGCTCCGTGCGTCAAGACGATGATCGCGTTGAACCAGATGGCCGGGCCGAAGCGATCGCCAATGTAGCGCATGAGCGCCGCGTCCTTGCTCTGGGAATCCAAGCGATCCACGTAGAGGACAATGTCGGGTGGGTTCCTGCGAATGCAGCGCTTGATCGAGGCCACCACGCGCTCGTTGTAGCGCCGGTCCGCCATGCTCGCGGAGAGCCCCGGCGTGTCGATCACTCTCATCCGGATCCCCTTCATGGTTCCATCGATCACTTCCACCTTGTTGGTGCCGCTGGAAAAGGCGCTGGTGCTCGCCATGGGCTTGCCGAAGATGGAGTTGACGGTGGCGCTCTTGCCCACCCCGGATTTGCCCAGGAGCAAGACGGTGCAGCAGAAGTCCAGCTCCTCGTCGCGCGAGGAGGCCTCCTCCTCCATCGCCACCGCGCAGGCCTTGTCGTAGCCGCTGGTGCTGTTGCGCATCTTGCCGCCCTTGAGCTGCTCCGCGAGGGCGAAGCGGTAGAGGACCTGCGCGGCAATGCCGTTGTCCGCGGATTGGCCCAGGCGGTGGACGAGGCGCACGAACTTGACGCGGATGTCCTGGAGCTTCTCGCACAGGATCCTCGTCTTCTCTTCGGTGTTACCTTGCGTGATGGATCGGACGATGCCGGCGAGCTTGGACGTGACGGAGGAGGGCGCCTGGGAGACTGCTGCTGCCGATGCCGCCGCGGCTGGGGCGGACAATGGCGCTACCAGTGCCCTGTCCGCGGCCTCCATTGGATCCGGTGGGAGAGACCCGCTAGAACCCTAAAACATTGGTTCCTCGCATTGCCTGGGAAAATATCTCGCGGTGCTTTCCTCGCCACGTCTTGGATAAGGTAGATATTTTTATGAAAAATGTTTAAATGGATCTACTTTTATAATTATTCTAGCATATTCTGTAAGAGTTGAGTAGCTTTTCCTTCTGAAATAAACATAAAACACTGGAATACACATGAAAAAATATTTTAGAATGCAAAAGTACTTTATCAACTTGTGCTAGTCATACAAAAGCTATAATTATATAAAACATGTTTAAGTAAATCCATTTTGAAATGGATTTACTTCTATAATCATTCGAGCATATTCTGTAAGAGTTATAAGCCCTATTTGCAAACTTCATATCCTACGACCAACTAAGATCCTTCCATCTGGTCCCAGCCTCACAAATTCAACTGGGACCTCATGGATTTGATTCCAAAAACTGAAAGAAACACAACATCGCTAGACTTCGATGTCATATACGCGGCGAGCCAGGAGCTTGGCCATGGACGATGTTTCACACTCCTTGTTGTGCTCGAGGAACCGTTCCTTGAACTCCTCGTCGTCAGTGGGCACCGCAGCCAGGCTTGCTGCAATCTCTTCCAGTGACATCCCGCGCTTGTCCAGGAAGCCCCGCCGCAATCTCGACATCCTCGCCATGTAGCAGCCGCGGCTCTCGGGCTCAAAATTCATTGGCGTCACGTAACGTACTGTGTACCTCGCCGGATCGGCGAGCTTGCCCAAGTATTTGCTCACTTCACCCTGCATCTCGAGGACGTAGAAGGTGGAGGGAGGCTGGCCCTGCAGCTGCCGTTCGGCTCGAGCGGATCCCTCACGAATCGCCTTGTCTAAAAACCCATGCATGAGCAACAAAGAACATCGATGAGTGCTGAAGGCTCACTCACATGATCCACTATCCGGAAGGGGTTCGACAGGAAGCTCTGAATAGCTGAGCCACAGCCGCGCGTCTAACACGGCAATATAGACGTTCTCCAGGTGTGTAAGGTACGGGCACACATTAATAAGAGGAGCAAGCCTTCCGCCGCGGTCACTCAGATCTAGCAGGAGCTGCTCCAGCTCCCCTGCACTTACAGTCCCTGTTGTTTCATTGCTTTTTGTCAGTATTTTGATCTGGAAACTTACATCGCTCGAGCGACATCCGTTCTGTGTTGCCGCGGGGGATTTCATCAAGCAAGAAATCCAGCTTTGATGACCACCACCCCTCCGTAGCCTTTGGGTGTTGATCTTTATACCGTGCATATGGGTTCCTTTCCTCCAGGCCCTACAGCAGCAAATTAAACTCTACAGCGAGAGAAAGACACAGTGTGTACCTTGGGATACTCCTCCAGGTTGAAACTGGGTACGTATTTCTCCATGTACCACGCCTGGACTGTCTCGAACAGAGCTCCACCCTCCACCTCTCTCGGCTGAACACCTTTTAGGGTTGGCCATATAGGACGCCTCTTCAAGCGTAGGGCTGCGCCGCCGGGCTTGAGAGAAGCCGTGGATGCGACGCTCGAGTTGCGGAGGGTCTCCTCCTTCAGGTACAGTTGCCTCCAGTCTAATGTTTTAACGGTCCCCAGACAGAAAAATATCCATCCGTACATAAAACTGGAATTGTTCCTTGCGTCGAATTCGTTTCTCACTTGGAATTCTCCTCCGAGGAAATCTGAGAAGCCCACGGGTCTCCAAAGCGCCATTGACGGCCTTCCGGTTGGCCTGAGAAGGAAGAAGCTAGCGTTTGATCAGTTTTAAAGTTCTCTAGAGATGTTACCAGGATCTTCTCTCGATCTTCGAGAGCGTCATTTCTACTGACTCGATGCGTCCAGTGCCGCCGCAGCACCCGCAAGAATCAGTGACACTCAGCCGGTCCTGAAAGCTCCATATCAAGTCAACTAGAGATACCCGTGCTCTCGTCATTTCCATGAGTCCGAACTCTGAAATTTCCAAGATAACAACTTTAGATCGGTCCCGCTCAATGGCCTTGCACTTTCATGACCTGCAGATATACCACAATATCTCAGCTCGCTGACAAAGTTTGGATTCTAGAAGCTTACTTGGACCCTCCGTGTCAACAACTATAATCCCACCAATGTCCCGTAGCCTCTGTCGCAATCTGCACAGAGAGTTTTTACCTGTCGAGGAGCAGCGAGATTTACTTCTAAGAACACACAGAAATATAAGTTCCCTGATTACGTCCAAATGTCTTCACCTTTTGGTATGTTTGAGACGAATCCCGACAAGCGTTTCAACCTGTATATACTCACTCAAAAAACGAAGACAGCATACTATGAAAAACCTTATTGTTGAAGAGATCACCTGAGTGCCTGTCCCATGGCCCTTTGCAATAACACAGGGACCGGGTCTTTTCAACCACCACCAGCAGCAACCTCCGCTGTCTCCACACGTCTCCATGAGGCGTGCCAAATCCTTCTTGAGCTCTTCACGACTGCGGCCAACAGCCTCAGTCCTCACGGTAAGACCAAATGCAGCTCTCTGGCAAGCTGCTTGAGCCGACTTCTTTCCAGCCTGTTGATCTTGCGAGTAACTCCAATGGTCGAAGCTTGAGGAAGCAGTACTTGCACTACATCTCTTAACTTCAATACTTCGAGACACTTACCCAGTATCGTCCCGCCAAAGTCACAGTTGCAGTCAGCTGTGGTCCTTTCTGCCGAAGAGCCTCCTCCTTAACTCGTTGACTTCCCTCCAGGCACCTATCTTCTGCAGGACAGTAGCCTGCAAGCTGCTTGACGACACCAAGCCAACTTGGAAGTTTAGTTGACAGGAGCTTCTTGTTCTCGACGACCTCGATTGGTTGCATGGTGCACGGAAGTTGATGAGCTATGTTGCGAGGTTCCGGAACTTCTGGCTCTCGCTCAGGATAATGTTCTCGAGCAGCCATGTCTCTTTCCGCTTTGGAAAGAATCTAAAATTTCGGGGACTTGGTCGTGGCGTCAGTCCAGAAACTTGCCTGATCATCTTCCAAAAACCTTTTGATCCGTGAAACTCTTGCAAAGCCGCCAGAAACGGGTCTTCTTCTCCTCTCGAGGAGAGTTCTAACTTCCGAGGGCGAAGTGTCGTGTGTCGGTACCCGGACAACGTAAGAGTTCGCACCTAGAAACTCTAGAATGAATGAATCAAGCTAGTGAAAATCTCTAAAAATCACGGACGAACCTGTAAGCCATTTGGAGCTTCAACGATCCATCATCTTTTCCCACGAACCGGCACAGGACCTGTGAGAGTTCTCCAAACTCTCTGTAAGCCTGCGCCAGTCCATGGAAAAACGATCCTAGATGGATTAGAATGACGAGGAAACTCAGAGCAAAGTTGTTCTCTATCGGGACAACGGCCGGTGTTGTGTTAGTGGAGATCACTATATCTTCAACTATTCTCATTTATCTGTTTTTTCCATGCTTCTGTGACTATGAGCAATCCTTTTTTTTTTCTTTTTGTTTTCGTTATGTTGATTGATCAATCTTTTATTTTCTTTTGCAGGTGCTAGTGGCAGACGTGAACATTGGATACGAGGACATTGTCAATAGTTGTTAAAGTTTGCTCGCCCGCTGAAAACTTATGTGGGCTTTGGCACACCAAGTACTGGCATTCAATGACACGAATAGCATTTAGAAAATATGGTGGAAAGCTGAAAAGAGGAATTTGTAAAATTTGATCTCAACCATCAACAGGTTCCATATGGATTCCCGGTTCTCGGGATTTATATTTTATACGTTAAATAATACGTTATTTAGTACGTTAAGTAATACAACAAAATAAAATATTAGATTAGTAAGGATTTAAAAATTGCAAGCAACACAACTAATGAGATACACTCGTCCAGACACTAAGAATTCTTTTGGATTTTGCTGATGGAAACTCGTTTTAATTTGTGAGTTAGGTAAATGAATCTCCTCAAAGGTAAATGAAGCAACAGGGAATTATAATTCTATTTTTTTGGGGTATATGTTTTCTTTCCCCATCTCACTCCACCATATATCAGTATTTCCACTTTCGTGAGGGTTTGGGTGTGCTTGATTTGGATCAAGCAAGAGAAATTGGATATCACCTTTCATTGATTATGATAACTGGAATACCTCCATATACATCTACAAGCACAACACAGGAAGGGTCTACCTTTTCTGCAGAAATCCGAGTTAATAGGCAATTGTTAAATCTTGCATTCTACTTTTTTAGTGCACGCGACCTCACTCTACAATGCTATATAGCATTGGCACCTCCAACTACAAGGGTTTCTAACAATTTAATCCACTTAACACTTGGAGATACCATGGACCGAATTGCTGATGAAATTCTTAATTTTCGTCCTGCCCTTGGCTTTGTGGTAATTGTTACTGATATTGGGGTGTTTGGAGTCTCTTACCTGATCCGCAATTATGTAAGACCAAACATTGGCACTAATGAAATTCCAAGCAGGATCAATCTTCAATCTTGCAACCCTTTCTCGGCCATGCTTATTAGTGGTACGAGGATTAACCCCTTTTCAAGACTTGGTCCTGGGGATCAAATTCATTTAGGAGGGCATACACAAATTGGAGTAATTGTATTGTTCATGGATTATACTTGCAACTTGATCATCTACATATATACTACTAGCAAGTCACTTTGGACCTCTGAAACTCATGGATTTGGGTTCGATTGCTATGTGCTCATGCAAGAAGATGGAAACCTGGTAATCTATGGATCACATGGAACATCATTTTGGTCAAGCTTTTCTTTTTGTGTGCCTTCTCCTGCATGCATTGCTCCATCATTTGTTGCTCTTGGACCCAAATGCAGGGTTGGTGTGTATAGATATGGTGCTCCGGCAGTTGAAGTCTGGTCACCAGGTGATTTTTGCTAAATTCACATAAAAAGTGCTTTGAATAAATTTTAAAGAATAAAATGTGAACTAAACCATTGGAAGTGCTTGATGTCTTGCAATTTTGCTAGTTTGGTAGAATTTTCCTCTTCCATGCATGCGTTGTGGATCGCCATTCTCGCGAGCGTCACCACTGGGCTTCGACGCATTCCTTGGCCGATGAATACTGTTTGAAGGGACACTACTTCTTTCACAGGGAGGAAGACTCGGCTTGCAAGGGAAAGAGGCTTCTGGATCCTTTTCGGTGCAGCAATCTGTGGATTTCATCTCTTTCGAGGCAGGGAGAAGAAGGGTCGAGCGCGCCATGCTTGCATCCAGCGCGGGTTTGGCCTATTTCCTTAGAAACTTATTTCGATTCGAGGTAAGCTTCTCTCTTCTCAATTCTTACTCCACAGTCTTACTTTGGATGCTTCTTTCTGCTTCCTATTGTCATCTTCGGGGCGTGGCCACTGGTCGCAAAACAATGAATGTTTTCATCTTTGCTGTATTCGAAAAACATTTGTTCTCTAGGCGATCACAGCCTTGCTTCTTCACGTCATTGCTGGACTCTTTCTTACGTCGTACACAGATTTGGATATCTCACAGAACTTTTGGAATTCTTCGTCTAGTTGATGCACGGATTTCTCGGCGTTGCCATGGGTGCTTTGTGGAGTCGCTCGCTCGCTTGCTAGATTTCCATTTTCTAACACGTTGCTGCTCAGATGGAGAATCAACTGGGGCGTCTCGATCCTTGCTTGTACACTGGTATGCACGAAACTCTTTGCTTTTGGCTCGATGTTCTCACTGTCTGGAGTTGCAGGTCCGTGCTGTTGGAGCGATTGGCTTTGTCTTTCTGTGCTCTTGGCTGGTCAAGGAAAACACCCTCAACTTGGTACAAAGAAATTCATTTGGCTGACCTTGACCAAATGTTCCTCTTCTCTTGCAGATCACCATAAACACCCATGCTTCGCTCTCGTACATGGTGGCCGCAATGGGGATCAATATCTCGCTTACCTCGCTTACAATGCCGACCATCTATGCTGTGTTCACGTCCTTGGTAAAGTTTCTCCCAGTTTTAGATCGAAAGCTGACCTCTAGCTTATCGTGAACTGCGCATCGCTTTGTTTTCCTCCTCCATGTTTTGTACGCGATTATTCTTCAGGGCCTGGGAATCAAGTCGTCACTGGCGGTTCCTGGCTGGATGTCGAGATCCATGTAAAATCAAAGGATGCTTACCCGGAATTCATCCTTTTGTACAGACACCATTTCTGGCGTTGATATAAAAATCGGGGATGGTGAAAATTCCAGCTTTAAGTTAGAGCACGTTCTCTCTGTTTATCAAGAAAGATGCCCAAGCCTCGCTCGAAGGAGTTACAGGCTGAACCCAGTGACCAGGAGTTCGGCTGGGGCGGACAATGGCGCTACCAGTGCCCTGTCCGCAGCCTCCATTGGATCCGGTGGGAGAGACCCGCTAGAACCCTAAAACATTGGTTCCTCGCATTGCCTCGCGGTGCTTTCCTCGCCACGTCTTGGATAAGGTAGATATTTTTATGAAGAATGTTAAATGGATCTACTTTTATAATTATTCTAGCATATTCTGTAAGAGTTGAGTAGTTTTCCTTCTGAAGTATGTTTAAGTTCGTAAGATATGAAGTTTATGTTCGTTAACAAATAGGGTTTATATTATGGAATCTCGTGGATAAAAGCTGTTTTGATTCCAACAACTGAAAGAAACACACAACATCGCTAGACCTCGATGTCGTATACGTGGCGAGCCAGGAGCTTGGCCATGGAAGATGTTTCACACTCCTTGTTGTGCTCGAGGAACCGTTCCTTGAACTCCTCGTCGTCAGTGGGCACTGCAGCCAGCCCTGCTGCAATCTCTTCCAGTGACATCCCGCGCTTGTCCAGGAAGCCCCGCCGCAATCTCGACATCCTCGCCATGTAGCAGCCGCGGCTCTCTGGCTCAAAATTCATTGGCGTCACGTAACGTACTGTGTACCTCGCCGGATCGGCGAGCTTGCCCAAGTATTTGCTCACTTCACCCTGCATCTCGAGGACGTAGAAGGTGGAGGGAGGCTGGCCCTGCAGCTGCCGCTCGGCTCGAGCGGACCCCTCACGAATCGCCTTGTCTATAAACCCATGCATGAGCAACAAAGAACATCGAGCGTGCTGAAGGCTCACTCACATGATCCGCTATCCGGAAGGGGTTCGACAGGAAGCTCTGAATAGCTGAGCCACAGGCGCGCGTCTAACACGGCAATATAGACGTTCTCCAAGTGTGTAAGGTAAGGGCACACAGTAATAAGAGGAGCAAGCCTTCCGCCGCGGTCACTCAGATCTAGCAGGAGCTGCTCCAGCTCCCCTGTTACAGTCCCTGTTGTTTCATTGCTTTTTGTCTGTATTTTGATCTGGAAACTTACATCGCTCGAGCGACATCCGCGATGTGTTGCCGCGGGGGATTTCATCAAGCAAGAAATCCAGCTTTGATCACCACCACCTCTCCGTAGCCTTTGGGTGTTGATCTTTGTACCGTGCATATGGGTTCCTTTCCTCCAGGCCCTACAGCGGCAAATTAAACTCTACAGCGAGAGAAAGACACAGTGTAGGAGTACCTTGGGGTACTCCTCCAGGTTGAAACTGGGTACGTATTTCTCCATGTACCACGCCTGGACTGTCTCGAACAGAGCTCCACCCTCCACCTCTCTCGGCTGAACACCTTTTAGGGTTGGCCATATAGGACGCCTCTTCAAGCGTAGGGCTGCGCCGCCGGGCTTGAGAGAAGCCGTGGATGCGACGCTCGAGTTGCGGAGGGTCTCCTCCTTCAGGTACAGTTGCCTCCAGTCTAATGTTTTAACGGTCCCCAGACAGAAAAATATCCATCCGTACATAAAACTGGAATTGTTCCTTGCGTCGAATTCGTTTCTCACTTGGAATTCTCCTCCGAGGAAATCTGAGAAGCCCACGGGTCTCCAAAGCGCCATTGACGGCCTTCCGGTTGGCCTGAGAAGGAAGAAGCTAGCGTTTGATCAGTTTTAAAGTTCTCTAGAGATGTTACCAGGATCTTCTCTCGATCTTCGAGAGCGTCATTTCTACTGACTCGATGCGTCCAGTGCCGCCGCAGCACCCGCAAGAATCAGTGACACTCAGCCGGTCCTGAAAGCTCCATATCAAGTCAACTAGAGATACCCGTGCTCTCGTCATTTCCATGAGTCCGAACTCTGAAATTTCCAAGATAACAACTTTAGATCGGTCCCGCTCAATGGCCTTGCACTTTCATGACCTGCAGATATACCACAATATCTCAGCTCGCTGACAAAGTTTGGATTCTAGAAGCTTACTTGGATCCTCCGTGTCAAACAACTATAATCCCACCAATGCCCCGTAGCCTCTGTCGCAATCTGCACAGAGAGTTTTTACCTGTCGAGGAGCAGCGAGATTTACTTCTAAGAACACACAGAAATATAAGTTCCTTGATTACGTCCAAAAGTCTTCACCTTTTGGTATGTTTGAGACGAATCCACGACAAACGTTTCAACCTGTATATACTCGTTCAAAGAACGAAGACAGCATACTATGAAAAACCTTATTGTTGAAGAGATCACCTGAGTGCCTGTCCCATGGCCCTTTGCAATAACACAGGGACCGGGTCTTTTCAACCACCACCCCCAGCAACCTCCGCTGTCTCCACACGTCTCCATGAGGCGTGCCAATTCCTTCTTGAGCTCTTCACGACTGCGGCCAACAGCCTCAGTCCTCACGGTAAGACCAAATGCAGCTCTTTGGCAAGCTGCTTGAGCCGACTTCTTTCCAGCCTGTTGATCTTGCGAGTAACTCCAATGGTCGAAGCTTGAGGAAGCAATACCTGCACTACATTTCTTAACTTCAATACTTCGAGACACTTACCCAGTATCGTCCCGCCAAAGTCACAGTTGCTTGGAAAGAATCTAAAATTTCGGGCACTTGGTCATGGCGTCAGTCCAGAAACTTGCCTGATCATCTTCCAAAAACCTTTTGATCCGTGAAACTCTTGCAAAGCCGCCAGAAACGCGTCTTCTTCTCCTCTCGAGGAGAGTTCTAACTTCCGAGGGTGAAGTGTCGTGTGTCGGCACCCGGACAACGTAAGAGTTCGCACATAGAAACTCTAGAACGAATGAATCAAGCTAGTGAAAATCCCTAAAAATCATGGACGAACCTGTAAGCCATTTGGAGCTTCAACGATCCATTATCTGTTCCCACGAACCGGCACAGGACCTGTGAGAGTTCTCCAAACTCGCTGTAAACCTGCGCCAGTCCATGGAAAAACGATCCTAGATGGATTAGAATGACGAGGAAACTCAGAGCAAAGTTGTTCTCTATCGGGACAACAGTGGAGATCACTATATCTTCAACTAACTATTCTCATTTATCTGTTTTTTCCTGTGACTATGAGCAATCCTTTTTTTTTTTCTTTTTTTTCTGTTTTCCTTATGTTGCTTGATCAATCTTTTATTTGCTTTTGCAGGTGGTAGACGTGAACATTGGATTCGAGGACATTTTCAACACGGGTAAAAGTTTGCTCTCCCGCTGAAAACTTATGCGGGCTTTGGCACACCAAGTACTGGCATTCAATGGCACAAATGTCGAGAACTTGAAGCATTTGGCAAATATGGTGGAGAGCTGCAAAGAGGAGTTTGTAAAATTTGATGTCAACCACCATATGGATTCCCGGTTCTGATTTATATTTTATACGTTAAGTAATACGTTATTTAGCACGTTAAGTAATACAACAAAATAAAATATTAAATTAGTAAGGATTTAAAAATTGCAAGCAACACAACTAATGAGATACACTTGTCCAGACACTAAGAATTCTTTTGGATTTTGCTGATGGAAACTCGTTTTAATTTGTGAGTTAGGTAAATGAATCTCCTTAAAGGTAAATGAAGCAACAAGGAATTATAATTATATTTTTTTGGGGTATATGTTTTCTTTCCCCATGTCACTCCATCATATATCAGTATTTCCACTTTCGTGTGGGTTTGGCTGTGCTTGGGGTGAATCAAGCACGACAAATTGGACACCGCCTATCAGAAATTATGATAATTTCAATGCCTCCATATAGGAGCACAACAATGGAAGGATCTACCTTTTCTGCAGAAGACCTTGTTGATGGGGTACTGTTTGATCTTGCATTCTACTTTTTTAGTGCACGTGACATCACTCTACAATGCTATATAGCATTGGCACCTCCAACTACAGAGGTTTCTAACCACATAATCCACTTAACACTTGGAGATACCATGGACCGAATTGCTGATGAAATTCTTTTGTTTCGTCCTGCCCTTGGCTTTGTGGTAATTGTTACTGATATTGGGGTGTTTGGAGTCTCCTACATGATCCACAATTATGGAAGACCAAAGGCTGGCACTAATGAAATTCCAAGCAAGATTAATCTTGAATCTTGCAACCCTTTCTCAGCCATGCTTATTAGTGGTACGAGGATTAACCCCTTTTCAAGGCTTGGTCCTGGGGATCAAATTCATTTAGGAGGGGATTCACAAATTGGAGTAATTGTATTGTTCATGGATTACAGTTGCAACTTCATCATCTACATATATACTACTAGCAAGTCACTTTGGACCTCTGAAACTCATGGATTGGGGTTCGATTGCTGGGTGCTCATGCAAGAAGATGGAAACCTGGTAGTTTATGGATCACTTGGAACATCATTTTGGTCAAGCTTTTCTTTTTGTGTGCCTTCTCCTGCATGCATTGCTCCATCATTTGTTGCTCTTGGACCCAAATGCAGGGTTGGTGTGTATAGATATGGTGCTCCGGCAGTTGAAGTCTGGTCACCAGGTGATTTTTGCTAAATTCACATGAAAAGTGCTTTGAATAAATTCTAAAGAATAAAATGTGAACTGAACCATTGGAAGTGCTTGATGTCTTGCAATTTTGCTAGTTTGGTAGAATTTTCCTCTTCCATGCGTGCGTTGTGGATCGTCATTCTCGCGAGCGTCACCACTGGGCTTCGACGCATTCCTTGGCCGATGAATACTGTGCGAAGGGACACTACTTCTTTCACAGGGAGGAAGACTCGGCTTGCAAGGGAAAGAGGCTACTGGAGCCTTTTCGGTGCAGCAATCTGTGGATTTCATCTCTTTCGAGGCAGGGAGAAGAAGGGTCGAGCGCGCCATGCTTGCATCCAGCGCGGGTTTGGCCTATTTCCTTAGAAACTTATTTCGATTCGAGGTAAGCTTCTCTCTTCTCAATTCTTACTCCACAGTCTTACTTTGGATGCTTCTTTCTGCTTCCTATTGTCATCTTCGGGGCGTGGCCACTGGTCGCAAAACAATGAATGTTTTCATCTTTGCTGTATTCGAAAAACATTTGTTCTCTAGGCGATCACAGCCTTGCTTCTTCACGTCATTGCTGGTCTCAAGGCTCTTTCTTACGTCGTAGGTGTTTCCTCACACAGATTTAGATATCTCACAAACGTTTGGAATTCTTCGTCTAGTTGATGCACGGATTTCTCGGCGTTGCCATGGGGTGCTTTGTGGAGTTCGCTCGCTCGCTCGCTAGATTTCCATTCTCTAACACGCTGCTGCTCAGATGGAGAATCAACTGGGGCGTCTCGATCCTTGCTTGTACACTGGTATGCACGAAACTCGCTCGATGTTCTCACTGTCTAGAGTTGCAGGTCCGTGCTGTTGGAGCGATTGACTTTGTGTTTCTGTCCTCTTGGCTGATCAAGGAAAACACCCTCAACTTGGTTCAAAGAAATTCATTTGGCTTACTTGACCAAATGTTCCTCTTCTCTTGCAGATCACCATAAACACCCATGCTTCGCCTCGTACATGGTGGTCGGAATGGGGATCAATATCTCGCTTACCTCGCTTACAATGCCGACCATCTATGCAGTGTTCACGTCCTTGGTAAAGTTTCTCCCAGTTTTAGATCGAAAGCTGACCTCTAGCTTATCGTGAACTGCGCATCGCTTTGTTTTCCTCCTCCATGTTTTGTACGCGATTATTCTTCAGGGCCTGGGAATCAAGTCGTCACTGGCGGTTCCTGGCTGGATGTCGAGATCCATGTAAAATCAAAGGATGCTTACCCGGAATTCATCCTTTCGTACAGACACCATTTCTGGCGTTGATATAAAAATCGGGGATGGTGAAAATTCCAGCTTTAAGTTAGAGCACGTTCTCTCTGTTTATCAAGAAAGATGCCCAAGCCTCGCTCGAAGGAGCTACAGGCTGAACCCAGTGACCAGGAGTTCGGCTGCAAGGAATGACCAAACAAACACCACACTTGCATCAGAAACTCAAAAAAGAAGATTCCAACGTACCTCCCACCCGGTGCAGTATGTGTCCCAGCCTCTTCGAACCTGCAAACTTGCTATAAGTACGAAATCCCAGGCGTACTCAAACCTCTATCAGCGTTCCCATGTCGATTCTGCTACCATAGTATAGTAGCGGTAGAGGTCGGGAGGCAATCGTTGATCCAGTTCCTCACTTCTTTTCGTGTTACTAGATTACGGTGGTGCTTCTTTGATGGTATTTTCATCGTCCGTGGAAGGATTCCTTGTTGTTTGCTCTTCGGCATTTGCAGGAAGCACGCTCTCCGTGAATGCATCGTCATCCTCTGGGAATAGATGGCCTGTGAAAACAAAAGCAAGAATATCAAAAAGAAAAAACCATAGATGAACGAAATGGCCCCAACCTTGCTTCTTAAGTTTCTGGACGCGAAGTGAACGCAACTCCTGGAGTTTTTCAACAACTAGCACCATTTCCATCTGCAAACGAAGACGGGATAAAGTGTAAGCGAGTACATAGGCTGCACCTCTTTCTCCAATCGCAACCTCGCCTCCTTAACGGTTTTCTTTTGAGCAAAATCGTTCATCTTTTTCCATCTGAGCAAACCTGCTGTCAAACAAGAAAGGAAGGAAGAAAGAAACTATCATACCCTCTTCTTAGCAATGTCTCTTGCAATCTCACGAGTTCTCCATTCCTCCGCTTGACGATAGGGTTCCTCGAAAAGTTTGTCCGCCTAACAACGAAGAATTGTAAGCAACGAAGCATAAAACTATAGAACAAAAGAGAAAAAGGAAACCAGAAAGAATTGTTACTCTCCAACTTGATCCTCCTTTCCCGAAATTTTGCCACAGCAGTGATGCCGCACTTCCATCCACGACGCCTTGCAGCGGCAGGAGAAGCCCCTCGCCGAGCTGCATTTACGGCCAAATACTCGGCCTTATCAATCTCATTGCTGTTCTTCCGGACCCCGAATCCCAACGATGTAGTGCTTCCTCGCATATTCACTGAAGAGGAGGGCATTGCTAGCGCGCGCCTCTCCCTGCCCCTGCCCCTCGGCTCGTCTTGCAGCGATCACTTCCACCTCCAGACACCTGTGATCGATCGGCGCCGGGCTCTCAAGAAAAGAAAATGGGATCCCTGCCCTCTAAACGGAGAGCTCCCAAAACTGTCCATAAACCCTAAACTCCTATTCCACGTGGAGCGATCTGAGCCGTTTGCTCTCAACGGTCGCGGTCTCTCTCATAATGTTAATAGAGCTTACAGATGCTCATCGAATGGAATCTCATGGGCAAAACAAGCACTACGTAGTGCGCCGACTCACCTGCTTATTAGCGAAGTGAGGTAAGGATGAAAATCTCAAAGGATACCTTTTCACAGAAGGTAGCAACACGAGCTGGAGCCAATGGAACAGGAGTGTTGTAGCTCGAATGATGAAGTGTTCCGTCCACAGCCAAGACAATACTCTTCAAGAATGGCGCAATGTTATACTAGAGTACCTGGCTTCGTTTGGTAGTTAAAGGTAGTTATTCTAACACGAAAAAAAAAGAAGCTTACTTCCCAGATATCTGGAAGAGGTCCCCCGCATTCGTCGTACGTGGCTCTCTTGGTCTTCTACGGCAGGAACAAAGATCGAATGATACTCGGCTTGACTCACGATGGGGGAGGATTACTTTGCAGACGATTCCAGTTACTCATACTTTCTTGCTTCTTAAAAAGCACTTTCAAGTCTGGCTCAAGACGTAGCATGCTGACTGCTCGGCAGCTTGTTGAATGTTACTTAGCATTCAACACCACGTCCATTAAAATCACGTTGGCTCCTGGTTGTGCTCAGGCAGGACTTGAAATTGCTCCAATTCATGGATAAGGGAGCAATCTACAGGATTCAGTAGCATCGCATGAGAGAATTAAGCATCAATCTAGTGAGGGCTTGGTCACGGCAGCGGCATGGATCGAACAGAGGGAGATGACGAGGGCAAGAACGAGAGGAATCGCGCGCAACAGAGGGACAAGAGGAATCACTTGCAAGAACGAGAGGAATTGATTGTAGCAGCAAGAGAATGGGAGTGGAATGCTTACCGAGCCTGTGGGGGTGTAGAGCGCCACTAAATCGCTCCACCTCGATTTTGCACACAAATCTAGTGGCTCCTCGAAAGCGTCACCTTTCATGCTCAGACAAAACATAACAACTGTTGAATGGAATGGATCAAAGTAGGCATCATAACCGGCGCCGAAAGGATGAGGAGGATGAGGCAACACTCCGAAGTCCTCCCCTAGTTAGAAGCTACTAGGAAAACAAACGTACCTCACCAGAAAGGTGTAGAGGATGACGAGCTTGTTGTTCGCTTTGAGCGCGCGCGATTTTTGTGTAGGGGTCTTCTGCTGGAGTTGCCGCTGATGTTGGTGTTGATATAGCCAGATTGCGGCCTGGAAGGCCTGTGCTTGTACTTGATCGGAGGCGAGAGCTGTAGCTCATGCAGAGCTTCTCCCTTCTGGAGACTTTTCAGCAATTCAAACTGTGTCACAGTCAGTCGAGAGAAAAGAAATCACTAGACTCCCTGTTTCCACATTGGTTCCCGTGCTTCGTTCGTGACCTTTCCCTTTACGATCTTGAGGAAAGCTCCCATTGTTGCAATTTGGATCCATGCCTACCATGCAAACCGGGCACCAGTTTGACTTCGAGTTAGTGTCCGCCATGCAGCTCATGTGGACTAAAACACATGAGAAAAATTTGATCTTCCACAAACGTGTGACTACAGATGCTGCAGCTGGCAGTCAAGGGACTTAATCCATGGACACTTTCAGTGTTTGAATGTCGTGAAACATGTCAGTTTCAAGTATCCGTGTAGGACAACAGTAAGTCCTTGTTAAGAATAAACTGGCCGTGACATCGTAAAGTTGGTCATTGAAGTATTCAAGAGTTATACAGAAAGCTTGTAAGATGAACAAAATTAGTTAAAGCACTGAAAGAATAAAAAGAAAAGAAAATAGGTGTTTTACATGTTCTTCTTAACAAGGTGATGGGAGAGATTACAGCCACCTGGAATTCTGTCAATGCAGTTCCCTTCAGATATCACGAAGTTAAAAGTATGGCGTGGTCAAGAAACATACTATAAAGTGCGGATACGTCGTCTCCTTTTCGTGTATAGACCAACGCGGGAACAATGCTTACCCGCATCAGGATGCCAGTCTTCCGCGGAAACCATCATATGTGGATGTCCATATGAATTCAATGGAGATTTTCTTCTATGGAAGGAAGATGTTGCATGTATGAAGTGATTGTCCCAGCCTTGGCTCTTGGCGCTGTGCAAGCCCCGTCATCCTAAACGAATCTCAGCTTGTACAGCCTCGAAGTGCACATATCCTCTACTACACACTTGAGAAATTTCCAACTCAAACACAGGTCATCAGTTCAAATTCTCTCCTTTCGCCTCTTTTATCCATCAAGATTTGCGTGCATGTAGTGAATGCAGTGAGGACCACAGTGTGTGCTCCATAACCTTTTCTAGGAGTGTCAAGTGTAACTTCTTCAAAACTTTATAGCCATTGTTCATTTTGCAACCTGGAGCATAAATATGATATTGGGGCCACATATAGATGGAACATTACATGCACGCAAATCTTCCTAGACAAATGGATAAAAGAGGAGAGAATTTGCACTGATGTGTCCTCCTGGCAGGCTTGGAAGCTACCCTGTAATCCTTTCATCAACACAATATAGCCAGCTGCAGTCTGTCAATCAAGAATAGAAAAAAAAAGGACATGTCTAGTCAGAGATTTATAAGTGGTTGTCAAAGTTTAACTTTATTAATACATTCCCATTTGAATACAATTAAGAATACAAAACTAAGTAAAACAAATTACATACCATTAAGTACAATTCTTTTATTTCCAACTATGTGCAATTCATGTACAAGCACCATGATAAATAGAAAAAAAAGAACAAATTATTCAATGTAATTTCTAAGTATATATATATATATATATATATATATATATATATATATATATTGTATATGTGTTTATATCTTACTTTCAACAACTAGGGAATTTAATAATATGTTGAAAGTTAGTTATTTGAAAGGGAGGAAATGCAAGTTAGTTTCCATAACAACCCTTTTATTCGGCAAAGATTTTGCAATTTAAGTTAGCTATGAATCCTTAGATTTTGTTGCACATTAATGTAATATATTTATTTAAAACAGTTTTGATTACTTTTTTTAAATTTTAAAAAATGGAATATATTAATAAAATTTTTATTTTAGAAAGAAAGATATACATGATTGTAAAGATGCCATAAAGTGGAAATATCTATATTATTTAATAAAATTAACTTTATTATAGTAAATGTTGAGCTTTGAAAGCCTTGTGTTACTGGTGAATCAAAATGCTTACATAATAATCACAAATTTAATATAAATGCCAACATTAAAATAAAATATATAATTTAAATTATTACAAATTTTTTTATAATATATTATTATCTCTTATTTTATAAAGAAATGGACATAAGATTAAAATATTTATAGAAAATAAGTTAAAGTATAATTTATGAAAAAATTATATATAAATAATGAGTATTTAGAGTCACACAAAACTTGATTTTAGTCATATAGTTTTAGAGCCATCTGAAAATTTATGAAAATATACATTGTTTAATATTTGTATGAACATATAAAGAAAGGTAAAACTTAAAAACAATTTGATTCTTTTTTAAACTTTGGAATCTAAGTTTTCAGTGATGATAAAAAAATTAGTAAAAATTATGGTTTCCATGTAATTTTTTAAATATTAATGGTATTTTAGCTCTTTTTATTATATTTTATAATATTTAAGTATTTCTATCATGTATATACACATGATAAAGCATGATACTCATCAATTAAATGGTAAAAACTAATAATAATATCTTTAAAAAGAAGTAAATTAGAGTATAATAAATTTTGACAAAATTAATATTAATTTTTTTATATATTTTAAATTATTTTAAAAATTAAATTTGGGTTTTACCTTGCCCAACGTAATCTTCCATATGTGCATGCTATTGCATCTTATTTAATAAAAAGGAGAAACGCTTCACAAATTGCGAATGAGGTTTCAATTTTGTATTCCAATCTTTAAAGTTTAAAATTTCCATTGCAATCAAGATTAAAAAGAGAAACCCTTTTCCATGATAAAAATAAATAACTCTATTATGTATTTTGTATTTTTATAGCTTATGTTTATAAATGTACTAAATAAAAATTAAATATTTTTTACTTAAAGAAGAATATTTTAAGTATTTTAAATATTCTAATTAAATATTATATAAATAATTTAATTTAATTTTTTCTTTATTGCAAATAATTTAGATAGAGAAGACAATTAAAAAGCTGAAAAAAGATATAAATTTGTTTTGGATAAGAAAAAATAATATAAACATATCCAAAAATATTTGTGTTAAGTAGCTATAATGGATAGATTAATATAAGCTTTGACTATGATAGGATCTTTTGGATTTGCCAAAACAATATAAGAATATACTGTATATGGTTAAATGGTCTATTTGATCATATATTTAATATTTAAGAGATTTTAGACAGTAATATACTTTTTTATATAAATACATCTTTAAAGTTTTATCTAAACACATGTATGCTAACATTAAGAGTGAGGTTTAAATTTTAGCTTAATTTTAGTCTAGAATTATAAAATCCAAATTATTGATATACTTTAGGGAGCCGGTCAACTTCACGGACTCGCCAACGTGTCAGCCCTCGTGTGCACTCTTTCTCTCCGCGTTCTCTGGCAGAGACGGGCTGTATTTAATGAAGGCTAGCGTCCTTGGTGTTAAGGACACCGCCCGTTGACTTGGAGCTGCCAGAAAGCCACGCTCTGTCGTTTATACGTACATACGCTTTCGGGGGCATACAGTGTCGGCGGCTCCATTTTACCCTTTACGTTGGCATCGTTCCGTACCGGGTCCGTATTGCTCAAAAGTTGAACGCTAGATGCATCGTCAACGCCGGTGGAGTACGGCGTCTCCACGCGCCAAATTTCATCCACTAGTCAACTCATATACGATGCTCTAATCGTATCGCATCTTCATTCATACGATAACAAGAAAGCCCTAAACTCTCCCAGTCGCACACGTGGCCAGCGAGTTGACGGCCGTGACGCAGTAAAGTCTACGCTATTATGGGCCACTGCCAATTTATACACATACGACAATCTCTACCCCTTTTTTTTGGCTCACGCTACACAGCTAAGACAGCGGAATGACGGGATTCCGCCAAATTAAACGGTAAAACGCCAGATTAGTGGAAATGGATTAACCGGGCTGGTTTAACTTTAACTTCGGTATTAATTAAGCGTGAAACTTCGTGTGTGCTGGGGTGTGCCAGGTATATAATTTTTTGGAGGAACTTCTTCCACGGCGGTCAAGAGAGAGAGGCGCAAACGAAGAAGAGAAAGAAGGAAGAGGAAGAAGAAAAAACTTTGTGTGCTATAGCTTGAGATTCGCTCGCTCGAAATTTCCGCTGGTGCGCCTCGCGTTTAAAGAAATCACTCTTTCCTCCCTTTGGAAATTGGAAGAAAGGCGTCGATTTTCTTGGGGATCTCGATGGTTTTGGCGTCCGGTGGGAGCTCACATTGCGAGGAATTCGATTTGGTGTGGCGGAGGAGTTGTGATCGGCGGCGAGGAAATCTAGCGTGAGAGTTGCTGCCGAGCGATCCAGAGAGTAGTATAAGGGAGATGGGGCGAGCTCCCTGTTGTGACAAAGCGGGGCTCAAGAAGGGGCCGTGGACGCCCGAGGAGGATCAAAAGCTCGTGGCTTACATCCAGAGGCACGGGCATGGGAGCTGGCGAGCATTGCCCAAGAATGCTGGTGAGCAATTTGGAGTGGAGCTTCTTCTCTCTCGAATCGTTTTCTCACAGAAATCGTGAATTCCTCCAGGGCTCCTGCGATGTGGGAAGAGCTGCCGGTTGCGATGGACGAATTACCTCCGCCCGGACATCAAGCGCGGGCGATTCTCGGTCGAGGAGGAGGAGATGATCATCCGGCTCCACGCGATTCTCGGCAACAGGTGTGGAAAAAAGGAGTTTTTTTTTGGTGGTCGTGGTCGTGTGTGAGATTTTCTTTCTCTTTGTTTGTTCCTTGCGCGTCCCTCTCATGTGTTCTTCGTGTTCTTCGCAAATTCCCCTCCAAGCACATCGCGAATTGGTGTCTCATGGCTGTGATTGATCTCTAGGTGGTCTGCGATTGCCGGGCATCTCCCAGGAAGAACAGACAACGAGATCAAGAACTACTGGAACACCCACCTCAAGAAGCGATTGCTCCAGATGGGCATCGATCCGGTCACGCACAAGGCGGCAGCCGCGGCGCGCATTGGAATGGGGATCATGGAGCACTGCCTCTTGGATCATCACCACGCCACCCTCTTCTCCAAGCCCGCGAGCTTCCTCTTCTCCTCCCACCTCTCCGCGGCCAATTCCACCTCCTCCTCCACCTCCTCGGCCAACTCCTCGTCACACATGGCACAGTGGGAGATCGCGCGCCAGGAGGCCGAGGCGCGCCTCGCCCGCGATTACATCCGCCTCGCCCAGCAGCAGCAGCAATCGCAAGGCCAGAGCGACGACCACGAGCTCCACCAGCATTTGTGGACGATGCCAGCGCTAGATCACGGGAATTCCTCGCCATCCTCGCAGCTCCAGAGCTCGGATCTGGCCTCGCAGCTCCAATTCCAGTTGCAGCTCCAGCAATTCCACCACAATCACGCGTCCCCGACCTCGACGCTGTGGTCTCCGGAGGGATCCGCGAGCCCGCCCAGCTCCACCACTACTCTGTTCGCCCCGGATCAATCCGTGGATAGCAGCGGCTTCTTCTGCTGGAATCACGCGCCCAAGCGCGAGGTGGAGGGCAGCGACGAGATCCTGGCTGGGATGGGAGGAATTCTCCCGGGTTTGTCCTCGGTGGTGAGCCCTGCCAGTGGGTTGGGCGAGGTGTTTGATCCTCTCACGGATTGCGAGCTCCAAGACCACAAGCAGGAGACTCTGGCCGTGCTCGAGTGGCCCGATGCCGGCCCATCGCACAGCAAAGATTACTGGAGCAACGTCTTGAAGCTGGTCGGATCATCGTGATCCATCACACCAACCATGGTTTTTCTTTCTTTTTTTTTTTCTTCTCTCTCTTGGTTCTCGTGATCCTCCATTCCGTACAACTGATCAAAGGATGGGTGGGTTCTTCCGTCAACTTAGCAAGCGCTACACTTTCATTTACACACTTTGGAGGATTGATGGACAGCGCACGGCAAAACGCTAACTTGTTCTTGTTTGGACTGGGAAGAAATCGTTTCCAGTCGGGTTTGCTTCTTCCATCATCGATCTCGCTCGTCTCGTTTAGTTTTTCGTCTCACCCGCCAGCTCCGCTTCCTCGATCCATCCCAAAATTCTCATTCATTTGGCCTGCGCGTCCATTTAATGCCCTCCGGGTCGCTTCTCTCCCCCGGCCTTGCTCCTTTTGGCTACAACACAACACCAAAGTTACAGAGCGGACGACTAAACAAAGCTGGCTGCTGGCGAGCGAAGCAAAATCCATCTTTGCTCTCTCAGAGATCTCTGGATTTTGTAGAGTCTTACTACGATTCGCGAATCCATCATCCAACCATATAAATATAAAGTGTAAATCCTGTTCGATCTTCTCGTGAGTAAAGAGAAGTAGTCTTAACTTTGAATGCTAGTTTACTTACCAGGTCCTTGTTCCAACTTCCAGGATCCGGGAATTTCCTCCATGCTTAGTTTATGCACACTTGATTTATTCAAGGCGACTTATTCCAAGTATCCTGGGACCTCAGGCAAGAACAAGAGAACAAAAGGCTTGCGTTAGCCATGGAGAAGGAAGGATTTGTGTGTGTGAACACATTACCTCTTCAAGCGAATCTACGTGTGCATGGACGCCGACTTATCCTTGATGGTTTTTGGTCTTCCGTCACCCTCCAGAGCTTTCTAAAGTCGAGAACACCAAAACAAAGTGAGACAAAGTAGACCAAGGATTGATTACACCTGCGTGCTCGAGGACGGAACCATCAAGGCGGCATAAGCACCAAGACAAAACGACCACACAAAGAAAATATTTTCCTTCTGCAATCGATTCTGGAGTGAGTGTGCCCCCGCTGGATCAACTTTTCGCGATCTTGTCCATTGACTTTTGCGCAGCTCTCTCGACAGCGAATGCTCCTGGGATCTCAGCCACAACACATTACCACCACCTCGATGGAAATTCTCGCGAGCTGGAAGCAAAAACAAGAGAGGTCACAAGTTTCAAATCCTTTCCTCTTTGTCAACGTACCTTTGTTTGGAAAAGCCACGCAGGAGCAACCACGCGGCCTGTGTGACGTTAGAAGAAATTGTACCACGCCTTTTGGGGCCGAGAGAGTGGGTTCCACTGTGTGATCGTCATCCACACCAGCCTTTACCATCGTCTTTCCAAGCATGCATGTCCGCCGGGAATTGGCTCCATTTAATGCCGTGAACTTTGAGTGGAACTCTCAGCCTTTGCCCCGTCGTCATCGCTGATTCACCGTCTCTGTGTTACTAGCTGTCTGTCGCGTGGACTTCATAAATCTTCTTCTGAACAGATCTCTCTCCATCCCCTGACTCTGTTTTTTTAATCCCTTCTTCTTCGTCGCTGCTGCTTCTTCTTCTTCTTCTTCTTCCACTTCGTCCCCAGCTATGATATGACCACCACCAAAGTCGTCTGGGCGGCGTAATTCCCATCCCGGAGCATAAACGACGACTTCGTGGAGGATGTGGGCTTGATGTGTGTCGGGACAAACCACCAGCGTGGACTAAGTTGCGATGCCATCACCGGCACTTCCGAAAGATACGGATTGATCTTCTGTGGTCCTCTTCTCCGCCTCAAAATCCTTTCTTTGCATCGGTCAAGTCAGTCGCGGTCGTCGTTGTCTTAAAAATAAAAGAGGAAGAGAAAAAGGTAGACCGCGCTGCCGCTGACGAACGAGTGAGAGCATAAACTTGGTGTTGTCGTCGACGTCGAACTTTCGCAACGCGAGATTTACGAGGGGGGTTGACTCTGGAGCTCAAATCTCAATGGCCAGCTACTGTAACCACTGCCACTGTTGCGGCTGCTGCTGTGTCTTCTCTGCTTTGTCAATCTTCGACAAAAAGCTCACTCTTTTCGGTCTTGGCGAAACAGTTTCTCGTCCCAGTCTCGGCGCCCGCAATCCGCGTCGGAGGAAAAGCAAAAAAAAACTCTCCGCCACCACCTCCTTTACGAGTGATGGAGATGGTCCGTCCGCGGCCCCATCATTTCCTCGTCTTCCTTCACACTCTACACCACTGCTGGCTGCTGCTCGTGCTGCTGGATCACATGATTCTGACCATGCTGCTCTGATCTCCCCCGCCCCTCACTTTCACCAGCGCGAGATCCGCACGCAACTTAAAAAAAAGGGGGAGCGAGAGCGTCGCAAGGACCTTCCAAAACTAGCTCTCGCGTCTTTCCCCTGTAACCTGTAGCCCATCCCTGCTAGAGCCTGTCCTGCCAGCTCCAAAAAGCGATAACGCCTCCTCTCGTCTCGACACTTCAGTGTGGTCCTCTCCTACGGAGTCCGATCAGCGGGAAAAAAAAAAGAAGCTTTTTTCCGCCAAAAGGACGTGTCCTCTTCCCTGTGCTGCTCCTCCATGCCTGCCTTCTCCTCTCCTTTGCATTGAATTGCGAGGGAACCATAGTTTAGTGGATCTAACTGATTTCGGTTGGTCCTCGCTCCTTGTCCAAAACAACCAGGCATTTATACCAAAAGCGGTGACTTGAATGACCAATCTTGCCTGTGCACATGATCTTGTCACCAGTTGTATCCCAATTAGAGCTCTTTGTGGAAGGAGCGAAGCACACGGACCACCATGGCCAGCTTTCCGTGCTCCCTGCCAAGAGTGACAAAACAATGTGAAGCTCAAATATCAGGTATGATGGGAACGGTACCGTGACAACCGAATGTGCAGTGTTGCCAAAGCGAAAGGAGAGATTCTTTTTGGGATTTTGAGAGTTTAATCTTTGTTTTTCTGGATGCCAGGAAGGAAGAGAGAAAATGGAGGTGGTGTTTTTTTCTTTTTATAAACACACCTGCGCAGTTCCACAAGGTACGCAGTTAGGAGGCGGAGCGTAGAAGCGAAAAAAACAAGAGGAAAACTCCACCTTTCTAACACGAAGTCCTCACAGCACTTACTTGCGAACGTACCAAGAATGACAAGAGCTCCGAAAAACACAGAGAGAAGCTCTCTTCACTTTAAAAAAACCAAAATGTTACAGCATAAACTCGTCAGAAGCAGCACTAGATACAAGCTAAAACGTTTATGGCAATTCACCTGGGAACTCAGGAGTTTGGTTTAGCCAGGCCTGTCTCAATGCGTCTAATCTCGAAGATAAGCATCCGCCACATCTTGAGCACAAACATTTCCGCCTCATCATCCAAGACAGAGAGCTTCTCCAGCATCGATTCAGCACTTACATGTTTGCAGGTGTTGTTCACAATGAAGTCGACGAAGGAAACTTCCTCCTCCCCCAGATACTCGGTTATCTTCTTTGAAATCCACGGTCTCATCTTCTCGTGGAGTTTATGCTGCAAGAAAAGAAAAGAGGAAAACGCCACGATGTTAGCGCGCCAAGATGAGATACAAATCCACGTACCTTATCATAAATCGCCCAGTCAACTCTGTAATTGAAAAGCTCCTCCTTTGTCTTTGGAATGCTATCTATCAACTGCTTGGCATCCATTATTTTCGAGTTCTCGTCCCTGTCCCGGTCCCGGTCTCTATCCTTTCTGCTTTTATCCCTGTGCCTCCGATCTTTTCTGTCATCCTCCGCAGATGGCGATCTCTTTGTTTTTACTGCTTGCATCTCCTCAGCAGAATAATCGATAGGAACAAGAGGACGTAGCATCCGATCCTTGGGCATCTCTTCTTCGTCCTCTTGGTGGAAAAGTGAAGGAAGAGTCGCACGTTTTCCAGTCCCCGAAATACCAAATCCCAACTTCTTCGGTATGTTTTTCATCTCTTGGTCGCTTTTGGCGGACTCTCCAGCAGTAGCTTCGTAGTCATCATTAGCTGGGCCATCCTCATCTGACAGGAAAGAAAACCATTAGAACACAACGATAAAACTGTTGAACAAGAACGTACTTTCACTGTCAATCTCCATTGTGACATCTTCCTTGCTTGCTTCAGCAGCCTCTTTCGCAGCACGTAGTGCGTCCTGCATCTCAAGCTCCACCTTACGCCTCTTTGCCTCGAGAAGTTCCTCTTGCTCTCTTATAGCATCAGCGATATCCTCTTCCTTTTCTCTCATCCTCCTCCTTCGTCTTTCCTCTGGCCTGTAACGCCGCTTCTTCCCTTCATCGTCACTATCGTCCTCCTGCTCCTTCACCTCCTTCTTTCTTTCACGTTCCCTTTCCTTCTCGCGCTCTTTGTCATGCAACCGCTGCCTGTCTCGTTCTCTTTCGCGAGCTTCCCACTCGCGCTCGTGCTCTTCATATGCACGATCAATGTCCCGATGCTTAGCGTTGCGGTCCCTGTCACGTCTAAACCTCTCCCTTTCCCGGTCCCTTTCAAACCTCTCAACGTCTCTGTCATTCTCGCGCTCCCGGTGGTCTTTATCCTTTCTTCCCCTCTCGGAAGAGCTAGTTTCCATTCTTTCCACCCTGTCACTGCTGTTCTCGTCGTCATTTTTGCCACTCAAATCATCTAGAGAAAAAACAATCAAACAGATTAAGATCATTTGCAACCATATAGATTGCTTACCTTTGACATCTGCATCTTTGGATTTGGCAGACGCGTCTCGAGTCGAAGGAGGGCGTCCGTCTGCATGGGGTCGGAACAAAGGTCTAGACCTCGCACTATTAAGCACAAAAACCAGTCGTAAAAACCGTAAGCAATGCTTTGCTACGTTACCGATCTTCAAGCAAGTGTTTCAATCTAATCAGTGCATCCTCATCGCCCTTTTTATCTGCCTCGTTCACAATGCCAAAAGCCTTCGGATTGCCGTCGGCACTCTTGACAGGTTTTTTAGAAGGCTGAACTTCTACACCAGGAGCGGTTTCGCTGTCTTCTTCCTGTGCCGCCTCCTCTAGGAGCTTGTCATTCTCTTTAGCTGCTACATATCTCTCGAGATACTCACGAGTATCCTTATTAACATTAAGCTGCATGATGGAAGCAGTTAAGACGCATGGAGATAGAAAAAACTTCAGTCAAGAATTACCACTAGCTCCTGCCCATCCAAGCTATTCTTGTTCAAAAGCCGCAGTGCACGAAGAACTCCTTCCGCGTTTTCAAATTCGCAGAATCCAAATCCTTTGGGAGCGCTTGCTGTTGGATCCTGAGCCCGTTTCCAGCTTTTAATAGGTCCACATAGCTGCATACAGGTTATAAGCCTCAACGCAAGCATGAAAACGAAGATAAACAAACCACTCTTACCTGGAGAACATTCCGTAAGAACGCATCCTCTATCGTAGGAGCAATTTTCCCGACGTAGACCGTTGTAAATGGTTTCTCATATGGACCAGCTCCGAAGATCGGCTTTGCGGACATGTCGGGCATGCCAGGAGGCTTCAAAACTGGCAAAGGTCGCATACCTCCAACCGGTGGTCTCGCCGGGCTCCCGGCAGCAATTGGAGGAGGACGGGGGAACATCGCTGGCCGAGGAGCCGGAGCGAATGGAGGAGCCGAGTACCTCGGACCAGGGACTGACCAAGCCGAGCGTTAGAAAGCATAAAAATCAAACTTTTAGTATGTCAATTGTTCCTTAGATATGGCATGAAGAAGATTGAGAGAGGAGACACTAGAATGCGGAGTTCAACTAGAACTAGGAAAATAAAGTTTTCTAAAAGCATACCAAAGACGACAATTCACGCCATAGAGATCGGGCGGTTTGTCCATGGAGAGCTGTAGGAGAAAGAATCCCGTCATCAATCGATTACCAAGCACGGACACACACATTCTATGCCAGTGCAAGAAAAATGCATCGATCTATCTAGCAACGAGGAGAGCAAAGCACTGACCTTGCCCGGCCGGCGGCGGCAAATACCCTGGCATTGGATAGCTTGGCAAAGCACGGACATTTCCAGGGCTGGGCGACGCAACAGGAGGATTTGGAGCCCGGATTCCTCCAACCACCGCCGACGCTGTGGCAAAGCTGTCGTGAGGAGATCCCGCCATTGCCGCTCCCTCTCAGGCTGCGAGCGCCATCGCCACAAACCCTAAACACAAAATCGAAGACCTAAAAATGGCAGTGGCAGGAATCGATCCCATGTCCGGTCCACCGCGTTCCGTACGTGGCTAGTGGCCACGTACGAATGGGCCCAGCCGCCTTGTCCTCTCGCTTTTGCTTCTTTCTCTCTTCCGTGTGTGGTGGGCGTGAGGGTTTGTGTTTGGGGCGCGAAGCTTTCGTGATCTAGGTTAGCGCCACCGCGGCGGCTGGAGATCTGAAGCTCCTCTTCCTCGATCTGCGAGAATAAGGTATCGATCGATTGATCGCTGCGCTCTTTATTCCAGCTTCTGATGGATCTGATTGAAATCATGTGGTGCCGTGCTGGATTTCGGGGGATCAGCTGCTCTAGCAATCGTCTTCCGTGATGGTAGGTTCCGATTCTAGCTCCTCTCGATCCAAAATTAGGTTTTTTTTCCTCTAGTCCGTGCTTAGCGAAGATTCTTGCAGGCTAATGCGGCGTCCGGTATCGCTGTCCATGACGACTGTAAGCTCAAGTTCATGGAGCTCAAGCGAAAGAAGACCCACCGCTATGTGGTTTTCAAGATCGACGAGAAAGCCCAGCAAGTAGTGGTGGAGAAACTGGGAGGACCCGATGAGAGCTACGAGGCTTTCACCGCCTCTCTCCCCGAGAACGATTGCAGATATGCCGTCTACGATTTTGATTTCGTCACCGACGACAATTGCCCCAAGAGCAAGATCTTCTTCATCTCCTGGTAAGTTGCAAGCCCAAGCTCCATCTTTTCTTCTTTTCTTCGTTTGGATCTCTATAGATCTTTTCCTCCCGTGGTTCTTCCAGGTCTCCGGACACCTCTCGAGTGAAATCCAAGATGATTTACGCGAGCTCCAAGGACAGGTTCCGCCGAGAATTGGATGGAGTTCATCTGGAGCTGCAGGCCACAGATCCAACCGAGGTCGATTACGATTGCGTCTTGGACAAAGCCAAAACCAACGCTGGACGCTGAAAAACACGAAAAACAAGAAGAAAAAAAAAGTTCCTCGGAGATGGCACAGAGTGACCACTTTTGAAAGGGGCCTAAGAAAACAACACGAATCAAGGCAAGCTTGCCAGTGGGGGGTGGTATTTGTTATTCTGTACATGGTGGTTCTCTTTTCTTTCCTTCCATTAGCTTTCGTTTAATTTGATTAAATGACAAGAGTTTTTGGATAATCCGAGCGTGGTTATGGCTAAACTGGTTAGGGTTCTTATGATTTGGAGGTTTCAGTACAGAGGGGATTAGGCTATGGCGACTTCCGGTCGTGCGATTCGCGGATAGGAGCACGAAATGGCGTAGCGATTCACGGTCTGTGAGCTCGAAATCTCCGGCGCCGTGTCATGGATCCCGCTGCGGGCACCGAAATTGCGGAGGGAAATCTTCTCCGCATTCGGACCAGCCTCGGCGACGATCTCCAGGGCCATGTCCTCGCCTTCGACAAGGCTCTCAACATGGTCGTGATTCATATCCTTTTGCTGCGCTCGATCTCGCGCTTCTTGCTGGAAAATCCGGAAGAGCCCTAATCTCGCGTGTTCGTGTTCTTGAGCTTGCGCTTCCTTGACTGGTATGAACAGGAGAGCGGGGACGTTGGTGTTCGTGGCAACCTTCGCTTCCTCAAGGCGACTTTCATCAAGGAGCTGACGGTGATCAAGCAACTGGAGGACTCTTTCGATTCCAGGCCGCGTTTCATCGACATTGCCAGCCTCAAGGCTCGTGAAGACGCTGCTTTGAAGTGGAAAATTGTGATCGTCTCTTTGTTCTCCAGTTCTCATTGTTTGCGCTCTTGGCAGGCAGGCTATGGCCGAGGCGGAGCGAATCGGCGTTGGAGTGACACAGGAAGCTCAAGACATCTTCGATGCTTTGTCCAAAACGTAAGCGTTCTCTTCTTTCGCTACGGCTATAGAACTTTGCGTGAGAACTTATTGTTCTTGATCCCAGGCTTCCAGTGCGGTGGGACAAAGCCACAATTTTGGTGATGGGGGACGTTAGAGTGAACGAGCCATACCTCCCAGAAAACGTTACTGGCGGTGCCACGGCGGCAAACGATCGAGTGAAAAAAGTGGTAAGCTCCGAAAACTTCGATCTTCCAAAAGTGGTTTTTGATCGATTCGATCGTGTCATGTTTTAGCTGGAACTGGAGAGAATGCGGCTCCAAGCTCGCAGTTCTTCCGCAAACCCGTAGGAGCGAGGCCGAGAGAGGTCACAAACGAGATCGAAAAAAAAGAAGGAAGAGATCGTCAACACCACCACCAACACCACAAAAAAAATCGTTCCGGGCAAGCTTGAGGCAGCAATGGCAGAGGAAACTTGCATCGATCGATCGATTGATCGTCTTCTAATCTTTCCTTTGTCACACTTTTTTTTCCTTTTCGGCTCCTCGGCGGAGCTGCTGATTCTCCTCACTGCTTAACACTGTAATCCCCTCGCTCTAAAATTCTTTGTAGCTTTTGTTGTAGCTTCTCTTTGGATGGAAAGCGAGAGAGAGAGAGAGATATTTTCAACTATAGCCAAATCGACGGTGGGATGGACGAAAGAAGAGAGGATCGGACGGTCCGGGAGCCATTGGTTCCCTCCATAGAATTTTTGGAGCTTGGAGCTATGGCGGCATTTTCGTGCTGGGCGAATTTGCCCCTGGCAGCGCGAATTCTTCCAGCGTCGTCCCCGCCGCTAGCTCCTGGCGCCTGCCGGGCAGTGGTGCCGGGCGTGAGATTGCGGGGTTCGCAATTCCAGAGGCGATCGTTTGATCCCGGCCACGCAGCGGTGATTCTCGCGGTTGTCGAGGAAGAACACAGGCCTGTGTGGGTGAAGCTCGCGGCTGCGGCCAGCGCCGCCGCGGTCGCGGTGATTCTATCGACGGGATTTGCCCTGGGAGACAAGATTGGCTACTACACGAGGTATGCCGCCGAGTACAAGAGGCGGGGGATGGAGCTCTTTGTGGAGGTATGGAAATTCTCGAAATGTAGCTTCGAATTTCGAGAAGTTCTCTTGGATTTCTTCGTGCGCCAGGGGGATTTGAATGGCTCGCTCGAGTTCTTCGATAAGTGTTTGGAAGTTCTCCCCGATGATTTGCCTTGTAAGTCGAGAAGTGTGATGATAGTTTTATCTCATTTGCTTGTTTCTGGCTATATAGATCTTTGGCAAAGAGGCCTCACGCTGTTCTATCTCAACAAGTAGGCACACGAATTTTCACGTTTTGGACTCCAACTTTCTGGCACAGGTTTGAGGAGGCGGCCACTCAATTTCGCGAGAACATCAAAGCTCGACCAGATGACACGGAAGAGGTTTTGTGGATTTGTTCGTTCGAGACTTGAGATTGTTGATCATCCTTTCTTGCGTTTTTCTTGTAGCTTGTGTGGTGCTTTCTCTGCGATGCTCACATCGATGGATTGGAGGAGGCTCGCAAGAGACTACCACCCGTAAGTTCGATCGAGATTAGAATTCTCCAACTCCTTTGTGAGTTTTTGATACAACAACAATGCAGATTGGCGACGATGACAGGCCCTTCATGAACAAGATCTATGAGCTCTACAAAAACGGAGGAGATCCACAACAGGTGAAAGAGAGAAAACTCTCAAACCGAGAGATGCTCTAACGAGGTTCTTGTGACGTCTCAAGGCAGATGCTCTCGGATTTGGGTGTTGACGATGGCCAGGAGTATTTCTACATGGCACTGTACGCAGCACTCTACTATGACGCTCAGGTAGCCAGCCATCCATCGTTTTAGAAACCCCGGGACTAACTTCTCTCTTGGATTCCTAGAAAAACTTGGAAGCTGCCAAAGCAACCATGGAAGCAGCTTGCCGGAGCTCTTATGGATCCAAGTAAGTTTTGCTGGAACAAGCATTCGTCCTCTACATTTATCTTGTGCAGGGCCAAGGACTACGTGGCCTACATTACCAAAATCCATAGCAAAACACGAAACTGGGAGCTTGTTCCAGCCACTTCGTGAACAGGAAGAGCAAGAGCCTTGGTTCCGCCACCTTAATACAGGAGAAAGATTTTCTCGCGAAGCTGTAGTTCGCACGACGCAACCATAGCGCTGTGCTTGCTGATCACGGTGGCTACTCGTCCAAGACACTGGCTGCGACCATATCAAACACCATGGTACTTTGCTGATCATGTGTTATAAAGTAAAAACCTGGACGAAAGAACAAAAATGAAAAGTTTGTACCTTCAAATCTTACGAGCTTGAATGTTATTGACAAAGGCGACTTTACATTCCGAGCACCACTTTCATTTGATTCTCCCAGTGCTCCTTAACTTGCTGGACGCGCTCCACGCGCTCTTTCTTGAGTCTCTCGTCCCAGTAATCCCTGCATCTGTGACACAAACCGAGAAAAAACTTTTACACTAGCACGAAATCAAAGAAGCTGAAAACCAACCTGTTTCTGATCATCAAGTTCAACTCCGTGAGTAAAACCGCCGTCAGGTACACGCCAGGCTGCACGGGGAAAGTCAAAGACAAAAGAGAAATGCAAAAAATAAGTTCACATTCTAACTGTGTGTTGATAGAGCTCCTTTTTACCTGTCGACAAAGCGGACACTTGGACTCCTTGGTGGCAGACTTGACGCCTTGAATTGTTGGAATGGAAGCCGCAGAACAAGCACAGGTGTTGCAAAAGAGATGCCCGCATCCCAGAGCGACTGGATCAAACAGCGTTTCCTAAAGGAAGAACAAAGCTCAAGCCATGAATCGGTGTTAAAAACCAATCGCGTCTTACCAGACAGATGGAGCACGTAAGATCCACTTCAAACGTCTGCGAGTCGACGAGAGTGCACTGGAGAGTAGCCTTGGAATCGCCAAATTCACAAGAGCAGTGTGACAGTCCCTCGGGAAAGGATAAGTTCTCACCACTGCTAGTCTCGCCATTTTCACCCTTCTGACCATCTTTTTTATCCTTGAGGTTGATGTAGAGAGCACTTAGCTCGATCAGCCATGGAGACTGGAGGAGCTCGACTTGCATGGCTTGGAGTCGTGTTCTAAAAGCTCGCCCAGCTACCGAGCAATGCACCTGGAAAGTGAAGCACCATCCAAACAGTGGAAAAAGAAGCAAGCAAGGCTTTCTAGCGAAGAAATACCTTGTCATACTTCTTTAGAATCTTGCGAATGGCGATGGCGTTCATCGAGGCATAGTTCACCAAGTTTCTTCCCTGATAGATCATCGCGCCGTGATCTCCACCAAAGTTGTGCCTCATGCGCAGTAGCATCCTCTGGAACTTGGAGGCGAGGTGGAATTCCAGGAGCTGCTGTGCTCGAGAGTTGAAACAGCCCATCACGGCCGAGATCTCCTTGAGCAAATTGGGGAAAAAATTCCCATCGCAGACTGGCTCAAAGAAAAAAAAAAAATTCAATCGCGATGAGAATGAATGTCACGCATCGCAGCGAAAATCCAATTACCTGGACACGCGACAGGGCAATTGCACGATGGATCCCCGGCCGATGGCGCCTTGAGGAGTTCTTGGCGGCCGCAACGCTTGAGAAGCTTCTTGTGGCGCTTGAATTCCACATACGAGCACCCCTCGAGAAGGCGCCGCCCTTCCTTCTCCACATACTCAGTGTATCTCTTCCCAAACTTCATGATCCACGATCCACACCCACAGCTCGCGATAGCGGCGAGATCGATCGGATTATCAAGAAAAGAAGAGATCGCGTTCGCGATGCGCCGGAGAGGAGGAGAGGAGGATCACATTCTCTACGCTAGCCCTAAAATCGGGAACACGCCGACCATGGCGCCAATACAAGCGCTCTCACGCCCAATCTCGACGGTCCGCCACTTTGAAATTTCACCTTTCACTCATGGAATCTTGTCAGTCAATTATTCGTTTAAGAGTGGTGTCACGTCCTAGTTCTTATCTTCCACCATGACTAAACGTTAAGTTTCTTATATCATCTAAGCTTAGATTTGGTCTATAAAAGAAGCTACATTGTCATGGAATTATTTATATTCGATTTGGTCAGAGAATATATGAAGAAATTTTCCAAATTACATTGTCATAGATTATATAGAGAATTTTTCTATACATGGAATTATTTTACTTTTCTCTTACGTTAGACGAGGCCAGTCATGGCTCTTTGGAGGTCTTTCACTTTGGATAGTAGCAACTCTTTCTCCTTGAGGAGCTGGAGCACCAAAACCTTTTGTTCTTGCTCGGCATTCACGAGCTCCTCTAGCTGCGCTTGCATTTGATCTTTCACGTCCTCGCTATCGACCATGCTAAACAGCCTCGAGACAACTTCCTGGACCTGGAAGACGATCGCAAAACCAAACAAAACAAAACAAAACAAAAAAAAAACAAAGCTTAGAAACTTTCTAGCATCGATCAGCTTACGATGAGCTTACTCTTCCGGAGACTTCTTCCACTCGGCTGCTTCGTTGTCTCTCGATCGCCGGCGGGTGTTCTTGCTTCCGAAGCTCCCTCCGCGTGATCTGGATGTGGATTTGTCCCTTAGCGACCCCTTGCAACGGGATCCATCGATCAACAGTTTGGTTTCGAGCCTGGCGCTGATAGTCCACGGCACAGTGGCCGATCGATGCGGTTGGCAAAATTGCATTGTAGTCTTTGACGTGGAGCTCCAAAGGACTTCCATCATCTATCAGATCCATGGTCTCGTTCCACAAGGGGCTGAGGCTCCTGTATATAACCTGCATTGCAAGTTTTCCTGTCTTAAACCAAGCACACGAAAGAGAAAGTTCTTAGTACCTTTGTTCGCTTCCTCACGGTACCATAGCGCACGCTAACGTATGGGTCACTAGTGCCGTTCCAGTCCGCGGCCACAAGGTCCCTTGCTTCCACGAGAATAAGTTCTAGAATGTATGTCATGTTATGATCCTCCGTCTGAAAGAAAACACTTGTAACTCACTTAGCAAGAACAAACAAGGTGTTTTAACATACCTCGGAGTCCCTCGTGTCAACTGCTTCAAGAATTAAGTGTATTTCTCCTGTGTCTATTTTCTCCAGAGGTATCCAGACGTCCCTGGGTGTGTTTGCTTCAAGGCTATGCAAGTTAATCCTCGCGCTTCCCATATTCTCGTCATTCATGAGCATGTCAGCATCGTAACACTTGATCTTTATGTATTCTCCATCCCCGTATTCGTCGAACTCGAACTCCTGGTTCCAAACGGGATTGAGGTTTTGTTGAATTGTCTTCGTTTTCCTTTGAATCTGTAAGTCCCAAATAAGCTCTTTACAAAGACAGTAAGAGATCAGTAGTACCTTGCCATATTGCAGTTTCAAGTAAGGGTCACTTTTTCCGCTCCTATCTTTTGGTGCTAGATTCCTTCCTTCAACTACTGTGACTTTGATCTTTCTGCCCGTGAGGTACCGCGTGCTTCGAAAAGCATCTAACTGCAAGAGTGGTGTCTGAGAATTTGTTGGATCGTCCGCGAAACACCATTCTTTTAGAACTAATTTCACGGTTATCTGTTCAGTCATATAAAGTTAGCACCGCGTTAAGGCAATAAAAGAGGAAGAATAAATAATTACCTCCCCAGATTTGTCCTCAATAGGAACAACCAGTTGAACTTCTCTGTCACACTGATCAACATGAGCGGCAATAACTCCGGGCTTTCGTCCTACAGCCCAAAATGTTGTGGAACCATCGAACACGTACTTGAACTGTTCCAACATAAACGTAAGAACTCAGTGATATCACAAAGGACACGTCACCTTTATCTCGCATGTCCCTAGAAAATCGGATTTAACTGACTGAAACCTTTGTTCGTAGACGTTCAAATGCAGTGTTGCCTCGCTACCGTGAAAAACCATGGTGATCGGAGCGTCCCACGTCGACTTTGGAGATGTCCCAGTCCTCCTCGAGAGATTTCCAAGAGTTAGCTCGACAAATGTTCCGCTGAAACTGCTGCCGTTGCTGGAATATCTGTCACCTGCTGTCGTCCTGGAGCTGTTTTCTGGCCTGGGTATGTTTGCAGCCGTCAGCACGGATACTGAAAGTACACCACCGGTGACACGCTTTTTCGAATCCCGTACAGGTAGGGAAAAGCATCGCATTCGGGGTTCAACCATTGTACGATTCAAGGTATCTAGAAGTAGCTTCTCCTGAAAGGGCAACGAAAAGACGGTGTAAAGAAATGCTTGACTAAGGAACTGCAAGACAAACCAGCCATGACGAAACGACAGGAAGTTCAGTAGCAGGAAGATGCTGGTTTCCGCTGCCGAATGCAACACCAAGTTTTACATCTGGTGTCGACTCAAACGCATATAATATAGCTTGTCCGTCAAGTATAGGAACAAGCCGGAGCTGAAAAGAAATGAAAACGTCTGAGAGCTTAAACATCAACGCAAAGGAAAGACTTACATCACCTCTTACTTGAATAGAGTTTATGTTTATACGTGCTACCTTCCCGGCAAAAGGAGCTGACAATTTCGCAGCGAGGAGAACACTCATTTCATTGCTGACCCATTCGAATCCCATATGCAAAACTGGCTGAAAACATCCCAAATGCAATCAGAAAGTAAGGATAAGAATAAAATGGTTCCAACCTGACAGTCTTCCAATGACCAGAATGTTCTTTGGAGCCCAAAGAGAGGAGGAGCTTTGCCCAGATCGAAATCATTCACTTCAATGGTTTGCTGTATATGACAACCACAACTGATTAACACATGAATCTGATAAAAACACCGAGGACAAAACTTACAATCGGCCTGGGCTTCTTTTCTTTGACTCTTCGCTAAAAGAGCACAAAAAAATGTTTGGCGGTATAGTAACGAAAACAAACCATACCTGTACAAGCGCTCGAAATCTCGAGGACAACCTTTTCTCCAGATAGTTTGGCCATATACACAAGACAAGCTTGTTAAACCACTCACAAGGCTCCAAAGGCGTGGTTGGCTGAGCAAATTCACGCGTTAGCGATGATCGAAAGCTTCAATCAAATTACCTGCGTGCAGAGAAAATGTCGCTTCCATCGGTTGTTTAGATCCTCCACAATCTGTTGCTGTCGATACCGTCCATACTAAAAACTCGATGGTTTTAATAACGAACTAAAGTTATAAAGACTTACCTGAATAGTCGCCCACACCGTGACACACACCGGGACCCAATTCGAGAATGGAACGATCCATCTCTCCAGCGCCCAGGCTAGAAGAAACACTGGTATGAGGAAGGGAAGAATCGGCTTGTCCCGGATCAAATGCTGCCAAACGCCAGTAAATTCGCTGCTGTGCCGCCGCCCGCCGCTCCCCACATACTGCCGAGGAAGGAATCTACCATAATCCACCCCATTTGCTTCCCGGATGACAGTCCCCACGAACTGATTCCTCGCCATCGCCGATCGATCCACTAGAGCTCCAAAACCCCTGCGAAATCTTACATTGCTGGAATTTCTTGGCGGATCTTTCTTAAAACCCTAGAGAAGCCGCTCGGTATTCCGCCAAAGCTCGTGTACTACTAGGCCATTTCATCTTTGGCGGCCCCGCCAACACTCCAAAGTTGACCGGCGGCGCCGCCAAGCGGCATATTACGTCAGTTTAAAGCACATTCTGTCTCTTTATTTTCTAGGGTTCTTAGTTTTCCATGTGGCCGGACATGGTTGGAGCATGCTTATAGCGCGCGGGGATCTGTGGTTTGTCCGGAAGATTGCTGCTGTTGTGCTGATTCACAGCTTCTAGCGTGCTGCTCGATCGCGCTATCCAGCATGGAGATCTACACGACAGGAATCGTAAGCTCCTTCGTTCCATTTTTTCCAAAAATCTCGGCATTTCTTGTAAATGTATGAGCTACATTGTTTGTGTGTGATGCAGCTCTCGCCGAAATCCTCTCGAAGCACAAAGGTACGCTCTCTAGATGACTTTTTGGTCGTTTCTTATTCAATACATTTTTTTTCCAGGATGGTTTTGGAACTTCTACGGACTACTCGGATCGGCAGCTTACAAGCCGGGAGTCCAATCTCAGCGAGTAAGAATTTCAAGTTTGCGTAGTTCTGTTTCATTCTCATTCTTTCTTTGGTGGGATGGTTCTCAGGCTATGGTCGAAAACACCATTCCAAATGCCTCCCGACGAAGAGGTGTTGAGGATGAGGTCTTTGGAGAAGGAGAAGCTCAAGGAGCAAAAGAGAAGGGAAAATCTGCTCCCAGTTGCTGAGAGGACTACGTTTGCTTCAAAACTTGGTTCTACGCGATGGTCCAAGGAACTGAGACAAGTATGCTTTTTCCAACTTTTCATTCTTCGTTACCGATTTGGCTTGCTTTTGCAGGACATGATAGATATCGACGAGCAAATTTCAAAAGAGATGGAGAAGCTCCGGAGCGTGACAATACTTCCGGTGGAACACTACCACAAAGAAAAAGAGAATATGGCCGAGTTCATTGCCAAGAAACGGGAAATTTTTCTTGTGCAAATGAGCTTGGACACGAAGAGGGCGGAGATCAGGAAGCTGGAAGACAAAATTTTCCAGAGAGAGGAGGTAAACAATTCTCTTTTACTTTATATCAAAGACCTTTTCAGGCCTTAAGGAAAAGCGAGGAAATGCTTGCAGAGGACAGCTTGGAGTTTGATGCGTTTCTAAAGAAGAACGATGAGAAGGTAAGGCCCACAAAAAGATTTTTCAAATCATAAAAGCAAGATGTTCATTTTGCCAGGTGCAAGAGGCTATCAGGAAGGCTGAAATGCAAACAAGGCTCAAGCAGGACAAGGCATGCGACCATCATACTCATAAAATAACAAGGACATCCACGATAACAAATTTCGCAATATAGGTTGCGGAGGCAAAAAGGTTGAACAGCAATATTTCAGCTCTGAAGCGAGATCTCAACAAGGTAAAGTTCGCTTTCATAGAGAGGAGCCCTGCTAAAACATTCCAGGTTGCTGCAGTATAAGGAGCAACTGGACGAATGTAAGAAGTACAAGGACTTTCTTGTAAGCCTTACGTCAAAAGAGTGGTTTGAAGAGCAAGCGCAGCAGAAAATATCACAGAAAAAGGAACCAGCAGCAGCTGAGAGTACCTCGGAATCTGGAGGTGATATTGTCTCTTTCATTGACATTCATTTATCTAATCAATGGGAGATGTAACATTAGATGGAGACGATGGCGAACAGGAGCAAATGTTTTTCCGCCATCCAAGCCAGGTCTGTTTTGTACATTTTAATTCCAAATATCTCAACTCTCTCGCAGCAAAATACTGCAGCTCTTGGAAATCTTTACCGAGCTCGAGGAGAAGAACTTGACGTTAATGCAAGAGTGTCAAGACAGTGAAAATGCTCTTGAAGATCTCAGAACCAAACTTCGGGAGACTAGAGCAACGAATGACAACAAGCTTGGGAACCTACGCCTCCAACTTCAAGTACGTCTTTTCTTTTTATCGCGTTTCTCTGAGTAACTCCAAAGTCAATGACACCGCCAGAGCTTGAGAGTGTCACTGAGGGGTCAAGAAGAGTCCCAAAGCAGGCTGCAAAACAAGACGCTTCTGAATATGGTCGACCGCAAGTACGAAATAACGTCCGAAGACATTATGGCCAAGGTAGCAGAAGTCTATGCTAGATCCGGATTCGAAATTGACCCTTCGCTGGGTGTGATACAAATGCTGACGAACATTGAGGTTCGTTTTTACTTCCGTCCTTTTCCTTGTCGTCCTGACCGCGTAGTAAATATGTTCCAGTCGAGGCTTGAAGAGAATGTGATCGCGCTGGAAGGGATTCCTCAAGACTTCATAGAACAAACGGAGAAGAGCCGGGAGAAGGAAAGGCGACTTAAAGTTCGTGCCGAGAGGCTGGAGAAAGTGAGGGAGGAGCAAGAAAGACGAGCAATGAGGAGCTTAGAACGAGCACAGGTGAAACTTCTCTGTGTTTTTTCGGAAGAAGCTAACAGTGATACTGCCAGGCTCCTGTTCACAAGAGAATTGGAAAGCCAGTGATGTTTCGATCATATCTCAAGAAGAAAAAGAAGGAGAAAGTCGAGGATTTGAGCAAAAGTGGAGACGAGAAGGACTTGCTGGACTTCCTGGCTCGAGCATACTGATAAGTTCTTGGTTTTCTCCGCGAGGTACTTGCCGTAAGGTAAGGCATGTTTTAAATTCTCTAGCCAGTCGTTGTAGAATATAACATGCTCGTGAATTCATTCAAGTTTTTATTTTTTTCTTTTGTACAGATTCCATGGAATCGTGATTCGTGAGTGTAAGTAAGCCAAAAGAAAACGGCCCAAAACATTGAAATCGCCATGCCAATCACCGGAGCATTCAATTTCCCACCATCTTTCTTTCTCACTCCTTTCGTTCCTTTTCTATTTTCCCAGCTAGCTAACCATCGCCACCATTAACTCTTGCCAATCAATGGCGACCATCGTCTCGTCGTCCTGAGCAAGAAGAGGGGTATTGTCCGTCCGGAGAAGAAAGCGAGAGTGGTCGAATTTTGGTTTCTCATCCTCTCATGGAGACCATTCACGAAGTTTGCGAGGAATCGTCTTCCCAGGCTGGAGATGAAGATAATCTTCCGAGCGTCGACTTTGGTGCACGTAGATCGGCAATGGAGAACAGCTCTTGCAGCAGGTAGAGAGGTTTCTACGTTTGATCTGTCCTGACGATGTCTTTCCAGGTGCAAAGCTTTGGGATCTCTCCAGTTCTTCAAGGTCTATGCTGGTCACAGCCATCTCGCGTTCCACAAGGTCGGTTTGTTTTCTTCCTGGCGACGGAACAAAAATGAAAAAGCTTGGTTGTTTGTGAGCAGTGTTTATTGGCTTCGAAGAGTGGATACCTGTCGAGGGTCTTGAAGAATTCTTCTCGGTTCAAGCTGCCCATGGATTTTCCAGGAGGAATGGAAGTGTTTGAGGCGGTGGTAGGCTTGTGTGAGAGCAACACTGGCAGCAGGACCAATGCCGCCACCAAAAATCCGCTTTTGGAACCGTCCAACGTTGCCATCCTCCACTGCGCGGCCGAGTACCTGGAAATGAACAGCGGAGCAGGAAGCCTGTGTGAGACAACGAGCTTTCACCTCAACCAGGCACTCACAAGTTGGTCGGACTCCATCCAAGTTCTCTCGAGTTGCTACTCCGGACAGCCCGAGTTGCTACAGCTCGCCGAGGAGCTCTTCATCGTCCAAAGATGCGTCGAGTCGCTGGCTTCGATGGTTTGCAGCGAGTTTGAGCAGAGCTGGATCATGGGCAGCAGCAGAGTCACAGCCAGATCGAAGCTCTGGATCAAGGACTTGATGCGAATGCCTTTCAGGATCTTCAGCCGGATCATCGTGAGTTGCACGAAGCAGGGACTCTCTCCCAAGAACACGAGCCAGCTGGTGGTCAAGTACGCAGAAAAATGGCTCTTTTCTGAGAGCTGCTGCTCCGACTTTGACGAGAACGACGAGCAGCGATCCCTGACCGACGAGCTCCTCCAGGAGATGCTCGATTGCATCGCCCACCTCCTCCCATTCGAGAGAGGCGCGGTGCCAATCAGCTTCCTCTTCGCGCTGCTCAGATACTCGGTCGCGATCGATGCCCCGCGCGACTGCCGCGTCCAGATCGAGAGCCGGATCGCCTGTCAGCTGGACCTGGCCACCATCGAGGATCTTCTCATGCCTTTCAAATCCGCCCGCCAGGCCCCGACGCTGCTGTGCGAGCTCGACAGCATGAAGCACGTCGTCGCGCTCTTCATGGCCCAGTGCCGGGCAGTGGATTCGAGCACCGGACTGGCCAACTGGGAGCCCATTGCCAACGTGGCTAGGGTGTGGGACGAGTACCTGACGGAGATTGGATATTCTGGCAGCATCACGCCGACGAAGTTCGCGGAGCTCATTGATGCCGTGCCCGGATTCGTCCGCGTGTCCCACGACCAGCTCTACAAGGCCATCCACGTCTTCCTCAAGGTACTACCGAGAGCCGTTGGATCCCCGTGCTAATCTCGTGACTATTCCGTGTGTGGTAGGCGCATCCCACGGCTTCCCAGTCGGAACGCTCGGCGATTTGTCGGCCGTTGGATTGCCAGAAGCTCTCCCAAGAGGTTTGCATCCATGCCGTCCAGAACGAGCTCATGCCGCTGAGGACGATCGTCCAAGCCATGTTTGTCCAGCAGCACCACACGAGAAGAGAGATGGATCATCAATTCACGCGAGGCCCGACGCGATCCACCAAGAACAAAGGCGTCGATCATCTCGATCTCTACGAGCATCATCAAGCGGAAGGGGGATGCGAGGAAATCCTGCCGTTCCTCGCGAGCTTGAAGCGCGAGAGAGACGATCACGACTTGAAAGCCAATCTGGAGGTGACAAATTCGAAGCTCGAGAGCCTGGAGCAGCAGCTCTTGATGATCCGGAGAGCCCTGGAAGAATCGAGCCACATTCCAGCGGCGGCAGCGGCGGAAAGATCAAGTAGCGGCGGCGTTGGGCGAAAGATCTCCAAGGCGATCCACAAAGTAGGCCTCTTGAGCGGCCTCTGCAAGGGGAATCCCCAGATGATCGTGGCGATGAATCCCGCGGAGCGATGCTTTCCCAATCGCAGTATCATCCACCCCGAGGACTATCACCTGCTTGGCGGAGAATCCATCGCGCAAGCTCCTCCCCGGCGATCTACATCGTCCCGCGACGACGCCGCCACAGCAGCAGCATCAAATCCCCTCGCCAAGAACGCACAATCCACAGCAAGGCGGCATTCCCATTCCCATTCCTCCCAATCTTCACGGTACTCCACGTCCTGACCAGGAGAAGCCCTAAAAACAGCATGGTTAAAACCCTCATAAATAACTGCCTTGATCCCAGCCGTCCATCGCCGCATCGACGGTGGGGGATCCACCGGGAGAAAATAACGAGCCGGTGGACCCGAATCCGACGGTGCCGCGCGCGCCACGTCACTGGAAGACGGCCGACGGAGACGGCGAAAGGCGCCGGCGGCAGCACAAACATTCCCCTATTAGGGCCCTTCTATTGGGGTTGATTTTTATCGTGGAGAAGGCAAGGGCGCCTTAGGTCATCCTCGCTTTCGTGGGCAATCTAGGGCACGTATTCCCACCAGTTATTAGGGTTTCGGATCCAGCGATAGCTCGGATTGGGGAACCGGGTTCCCATCCAGCAAAAGGCGCAAATTTCGATTTCGAAAATATTTCATCCTCTCCGCCTCGGATTCCCTCACGGCTGCGATCGATCGGCGCCTCCACAGCTGAAATTCTCGCCGCGATGCCGAGGTAGCGATTCGGCAGCTGGAAATCGCATCAGGTGAGGGGGTTCCTCCCGATTCTCTCCCTCCCGGCTGCCTTAGTTGGGGTTTAGGACTCTGGAGAGGCCTTCTTGCAGCATTTGTGTGGCTGGAAATCCATTTAGGCATTCTTTGCTTGACGAATATTTGGCGAGCTCCTCGATTCACTACACTATCAGCTTCAGGGCTCTTAAGAGTTTTTTTTCCTTCGATCCAGGTGGTGTGGGAGCATTTAATCGCCGCTGATACCTCCCTATGATGTCAGAGTATGAAGAGGCCGACGAATCCAATGAGAATGAGGATAGTTTTGTAGGACAACAAGAGCATTTCTCCAGTAGGCCGAGGAAATCTAGGTACGAGCCTTCAGACGGCGACGACGCGAGCCAATCTGATCATGGAGATCCAGAGTACAAAGAGGATTCGGGTGATGAGAATTACGAAGATGGTGGATACGAGAATGGAGCTGCTTCGTATAGGTATTCTACTGTAGAGTCCCGGGATTTTCAGCTCGAGCCCGAGGAGTCTGAAGAATATGTGATGGAGGAAGAGGAAGAAGACGATAATGGAGGTACTTCAGCTTCAAACTTTTTTTCCCTTCTTCCCAACTTCTCTCTCTTTTTTATCTACGTGATAGGTGACGACCCTCAAGACGCTGATTTTGATCCTGTGTCACCAGAGAACAATTTCTCGCAACAGGTACTTTTCATTCCGCTCTTGGAAGCGCTTGAGCTTTTGTCGGCTGCGTCTTAGGAAGAGGACGATGACGACGACTACAACGCAAGTGCTGAGGAGCAGGAAGAAGCCGCCAGCACTGGAGGTTTTGACGTATCCAGTGACGAGGAGCTCGTTCGGCCTGCGAATCCCAGAAAGCGGCCTGCGATCAAGATTGCGCAACCTCGATTCGGGTCAAATAACCAGAAACGGCATAGAATTGTGCAGAAGAAAGACTATCCGTCGGATGAAGAAGACTCTTCTGACGGTGAAGACCAGCGTAATCATCGTAAGGTTGTTGTTGCAAGCTCCATCAGACCTGTTGTCATCGCCCCAAGTCAACGAGCACCAGCAGACTTTTCCTCCAGGGAAACGAGAAGCAGAAGATCGATTCCTAGGAAATCTTACGTGGAGGAGGAAAGCGAAGAGGATGAAGAAGATCAAAAAGCAAAGAAAAAGGTATGTTGAACGTATGATTCAGCTCGTCGCTAACGTTTATATGCAGGTATCCCCGGATGAGATTGAAGAAGAAGACAGTGACAAAATAGAAAGGGTAGTGTGGCACCAGCCCAAGGGTATCGCGGAAGCAGAAATGTTAGAAGGCAGGAAAGCAGAACCGTTCATCCTCGATACAGATCCTCATGCTGATTTAGATTGGGAAGAACAAGAGTTTTACATAAAATGGAAGGGACAATCCTACCTTCATTGTCAATGGCAAGGTCTTGCTGATCTCCACCAGGTACTATGCTCTCTTACTTCGAACATCATATTAAAAGGCGTTTGCAGCTAAGTGGATACAAGAAGGTCGTTAACTACATGAAAAAAGTTGAAGAAGATCGGCAGAAGAGAAGAAACTTGAGTGGAGAAGAGGTTCTGATTCTGCCTGTTGGTGTGATCGTGTCCTAATACTTGCTGGCAGGCCGAGGTGCATGATTTGAGCAAGGAGATGGAATTGGATCTCTTGAAGCAGTATACCCAGGTGTTTGTTACTACTATCCCTGTGTATGATATTTTAACTGACTTTGGGATACAGGTCGAAAGAGTGTTCGCCGAGAGAATCGGCACTGTTGATGGAGAAGAATTTCAAGAATACCTTGTTAAGTGGAAAGGTCTCTCCTACGCAGAATCAACCTGGTATTCTTTTCTTGTTCTTTTTGTTCTATTCTCTTAACGACTTGCGCCAGGGAAAAGGACATTGATCTCGCATTTGCTCAAGATTTTATCGACGAGTATAAGGTACATGACAAAGCTGGTTACCGTACCGTGTTTTTAATCAATTTTTTTCCATCAGGAGAGAGAAAGTGCATCTAATTTTCAGGGAAAATCTGTCGATTTTCAACGGAAGAGAGGCAAATGTACTATCTTAGAAGTATTAACATCAGTAACAGTTGCCTTCTTTTCTTTCAGTGATCTTAAGAAAGCTTGAGGAGCAGCCAGAGTGGTTGAAAGGTGGAAAACTACGTGATTACCAGCTAGAAGGTTTAAACTTTCTAGTAAATGGGTATGTCTTCTTTCTAGATTAACAAATGAACTTCTGTTACCGAACTTATGTTGCAGTTGGCGTATGAATACAAATGTTATTCTTGCCGATGAAATGGGTCTAGGAAAGACCGTACAGTCGTTATCGATGCTGGGATACCTGCAGGTACTTGATTATTTTTGCTGAACTTCATAAATTTTCGTTTCTTTCAGTATAACCTGGAAATCTTAGGACCTTTTTTAGTGGTCGTACCTCTTTCCACAATCGCTAACTGGGCCAAAGAGTTTCGAAAATGGTTGCCCAACATGAATGTGCTGGTGTATGTTGGCAATGTGGCCAGTCGTGAGGTAAGAGTTTTCTGTTGATGGATTTTAGCTAAGTATTTTTATGTAGATGTGTCAAAAATACGAGTTCTTCACTGCATCGGGACGAGCTAAATTCAACACTTTGATCACGACGTACGAACTTGTATTGAAGGATAAAGACGTCCTATCTCAGTTCAAGTGGGACTTTCTGATGGTGGATGAAGCTCATCGTTTGAAAAACAACGAGGCAGCGTTGTATACTGAGCTCATGGTATGTTGTGTTGGGAAGCTCGTTTTGGTTATTAACATGCTTTTCAAGCAGAAATTTAGTGCAAAGAACAAAGTTCTTGTGACTGGAACGCCTTTACAAAATAATGTCGAGGAGCTCTGGTATGTCCTGTTTAAAGCTCATGGAAGTTCTTACTCTCGTTTATGACTAGGGCGCTTTTACATTTTCTTGATCCTATAAAATTTAGAAACAAAGACGATTATAAAAATCTGGTGTCATTTAACGAAGCTGAGGTCGGTTTCTGCCACCAATTTCCCACTTCATAGCTAATTGGTGGGATGTTTCAGCTAGCGAGGCTGCATGCCGAGTTGCGGCCACATTTGTTGAGAAGGGTGATAAAGGACGTGGAGAAATCTTTGCCTCCTAAAATCGAGCGTATTCTTAGAGTGGAGATGTCTCCACTTCAAAAACAGTATGGGGTTCAAATAAGTGTCCACGTAGTAATCCTCGTTCGTTTTCAGGTATTACAAATGGATTTTGGAGCGTAATTTCAGTGATCTGAACAAAGGCGTTCGTGGGAATCAGGTATTTTTTTGCGTCCTTTTTCTTTTCGCATTTTTGAACTCCTACCTTGCAGGTGTCTCTGCTGAACATAGTTGTGGAACTAAAGAAGTGCTGCAACCATCCCTTTCTTTTTGAGAGTGCGGATCATGGTTACGGAGCAAATGCAACTATGACCGACAATAGTAGAGTGCAAAGGGTTGTTCTCAGCAGCGGCAAGCTGGTTTTACTCGATAAGCTTCTTGTCCGTTTGAAGGAAACGGGCCACAGGGTTCTGATTTTCTCTCAGGTATTTTAGTCTTGCATTCACAGTTTTCTTAGCACATGTTACAGATGGTGAAAATGCTGGATATTTTAGCGGACTATTTACGTCTGAGAGGCTTTCAATTTCAAAGGCTGGATGGCAGCACAAAGCACCACTTACGTCAGCAGGCTATGGAACACTTCAATGCCCCTGGAAGTGAAGATTTTTGTTTCCTACTTTCAACAAGAGCGGGGGGCCTTGGAATCAATCTTGCTACTGCAGACACTGTGATTATCTTTGATTCTGATTGGAATCCACAGAATGACCTTCAAGTAAGTTTTCTTTTTGAAAATTCACAAGTTTATTCCACGTTCTATGTAGGCAATGAGTCGGGCTCATCGTATTGGGCAAGAGTTTGTCGTCAACATTTATCGCTTCGTGACATGTAGAAGTGTCGAGGAAGACATTTTGGAACGCGCAAAAAAGAAAATGGTATGTGTGTTTTTTTATTTGTCGTGTATTTCTCACTGTTCGCTTTCAGGTTCTTGATCATCTAGTCATACAGAAGCTGAATGCTCAAGGACGGCTGGAAATGAAGGAGACCAAGAAAGCTACAACGATGTTTGACAAGGTGTGTTCCATGTCTCCGATGAGCCTTCTATTGATCTGGATCTGGAACTGCAGAACGAGCTTGCAGCAATTCTTAAGTTTGGGGCGGAAGAGCTCTTCAAGGAAGAAAAGAAGAGCGAAGAGGAGGCCAAGAGCAAGCTGGAAAACATGGACATTGATGAAATACTTGAGAGAGCAGAGAAAGTGAGCGGCGATACCGAGCAACCGGGTGGCGAGCTTCTTGGTGCTTTCAAGGTATTGGCGTGGTTTGAAATGTCCACTCCACTGAGTAGCCTGTACTATTTTCAGGTAGCAAATTTCAGTCAGGGAGAAGATGATGCAGCATTCTGGAGCCGTCTGATCCCCGCTGAGACTGCAAAGGAAGCTCCAGTAAGTAAAAAAATTTAATTGTGATTTAATAT